CTTGCCTGCCCCTGCCCCACGGCTGCCTCTCAGACATGGCTGGAAACTTGCGTGGGAACTTGAGGGTCTGCTGAATCAAGTGATGAAGGCTTAGATCTGGATGTGTTGAGTTAGTTTAGGACTGGGGTGTTGATCTGTGAGTGCCTTGGGTGGGGCCTGGATGAGGCTGGTTGACCTAGTGGGAAATGTCTTTTGTGTGAAGTGTATCATTGGGCATGTGGAGGTATTATTGATATGAGAAAATGCTAAGTAACTGATTTACTATCTGAAAAGGGATTTACTATTGGGGAAATTGAGGGAAGAAGAGACTGAACATAAACTGCACCTATGGATGAGGACAATGGGGGATGGGGGGGGGGACGGAGGGTGGGGTGGGAACCTGGTGGAGGGGGGAAGAAATGAGGAACCTTTGTAATAATATGAACAATAAAGATTGATTTAAAAAAATAAAAAAAATAAAAAAAATAAAATAAAAAAAATAAAAATAAACAAGGGGCATAAAGATGTTAACTGGTCCACAGACCTGTACTTACTGTCTATACCTTATTAAAAAGATACCTTACCTTTATCAAAACTCATCAAATTAGATTTAAAAATTTTTTAATACAAAATAGAAGTAAAACTAAGCATATTTTAAAGGCTTTCCCAAGCTTAAGTTCTGTTTATTTTACTGGTTGTATTAGGAACAATTTCGCATCAAATTTTCTAATGTTCATGCTGTACTCATAAAAAGGAATTAAGTACTAGTACATGCTTCAACAAGGATGAACCTCAAAACAAGCAAGGTGAAAGAAGCCAAACACAACAGGTCACCCATTGTATTATCCCACTTATTTGAAATATCCAGAATAGGTAAATCCACAGAGACATAAAGAAGGCTATGGTTGCCAGGGGCAGAATATGACTGTTTAATGGGTATGAGGGTCTCCTTTGTGGAAGGTTGGATAAAATTTTGGAACTATATAGAGGTGACAGATGATTGCACAAAATTGTGAACATACTAAAACCCCATTCTATTGTTCACTTTAAAATACTTAATTTTATGCTATGTGAAAATTTTATCTCGATTTTTTAAAAAGAAGTCCAAATACTGTTTGATTGTAAGGCAGTAACTAGGCTTCATTTCAATATGGGCACATTTTGTATTACAATGAAACACTATACAGAATTTGGTATTTTTCAACTTCAGTTTTCTATCATGTTTTAAACATACTCAAATTTCAGATACTTCTTCCATATGCCCCAATATACTAAAATTTAGTCATCACTGCAAAATCCTAATGAGAAATATTTTTAAGTGGTTTATCAGTTCTCAAATCTTTTAAATGAGGGGTACTGAGAAAACTATTTAATAGTTCAGGTGACATGTAAAATAACACTTGCTAAATACAAAGGATTAGGGGGGAAATGTCTAAATCTTTCCTAATTAGCTACAATTAATAACTGAAAAGATAAATTTCACAGCAGAAAAAAACCAGCCTAAGAGAGCATGGGTGAATTAAAGATTTTTTTAAATATATATTTTATTGATTTTTCACAAAGAGGAAGGAAGAGAGATAGAGAGCTAGAAACATCGATGAGAGAGATACATCAACCAGCTGCCTCCTGCACACCCTCTACTGGGGATGTGCCCGCAACCGATGTATATGCCCTTGACCAGAATCGAACCCGGGACCTTTCAGTCCACAGGCTCTATCCACTGAGCCAAACCGGTTTCAGCGAATTAAAGATTTTTTTAAAAAGCCCAAACACAGCACAGAAAGACAAAGAGCAGAAACTTATTCATGAGAGTAAGATCTATGAAAAGGTCAAACTTAAAGGTAAATGGAGTCCCAGAAAGGACATAATGGGGCAGAATCCATGTTTGAAGAGAAATTGGCTAAGAATTTCCCTAAATTGATAGAAGATATTCAGCCACAGATTTAAGAAACCTAGGGAACCCAGGCAAAATAAACAAAATCCTAAGAAAAATCCCTACATACCAAAGACTAAGATAAATTCATAAAAGCAACTTAGCTTAAAAAGATAGATTATATTCAAAGAGCAACAATCAGACTGATACCTAATTTAACAACTCAATAGAAGACCAAAAACAATAGAATGGCCTCTTCAATGAAGGACAGTGTTACCTATCCACCAAAAATATCCCTCAAAACTAAAGATAAAGACTTAATAGTATTCTTTGAACAAAAGAAAAACTACTTAAGATAAAAAAATGAAATGTAGGAAGGAATGAAGAAGAAAGGGGGGAAAGAGGACAGTAAATGTATGAGGAAACCCAAAGACTGCATAAAACAGTAATAATGTCTGTAAAGTTTAAAATAGCAATAGTATACTCATAAAATATCTGACAACAGCAGCACATATATTGAGAGAGGGAGTTAAATGGAGTTAACATGTTCTAAGGATCCTATGTTGTCCAAGAAAAGATAAAAGTACAAATTTGTATTGACTTTGATAAACTGAGAAAGTGTGAAGTATACCAAGTATCCATTAAAAGCTGGTAGAGTTGTCTACATATGTCAATAATTATAATAAATGTAAATGAACTAAATATTTCAATTAAATATAACTGCCAGATTAAAATTTATAAAAACTATGTCCTAATTATGAGACGTTTTTAAATATAAAGAGACAGATGGTTAAAAACAAACATTAAATAAAAAGAAAGTTAGTTATAGCTTATATACATAGTAATATTAACATGGTTTAAGAATCTCTGAGCTTTTTAATATAAAGTCTTACATTCAGAGGTTTCAAGATTTCTAAGTCAAATACTTTAACAGATCAGTTTTTAAGCTTTGTTAAACTTGTAATTATTTTTTAGATTTCCATTGTTATTTATGAAACTAAATTATATTTATTGAATGAAGCATGGTAGATACACTTAATAACTGAAAACTTATCTATACATATAAAAGTCAAGCAAATGGAATGCTAGGACAACCTGGTGCTTTGATGCACACTGTGGCCCCAATCGACGCCCCCCAACCCGGATGGGGGGGAGGCAGCCAGCCCAGCCCGATTAGCCCCAATCAGGGCAGGCCAGCTGGACCCCACCTATGCACAAATTCATATACTAGACCTCTAGTTTTTCATAATTATCATAGATTAAAATGGAGTATTTCTCAGCCTTAAAAAAAGAAGGAAACTTGGCCAGTGTGGCTCGGTTGGTTAGGCACCATCACATGCACGGAAAAGTTGTTGGTTCAATTTCCTTTCAGGAATGCAGGAATGCAGGCTTGATCTCTGGTAGGGGGCAGGCAGGAGGCAGCTGAGTGATATTATGCTCTCACGTTGACATTTCTCTCTTCTCCCTTCCTTGTTCTCTAAAAAATCAATAAGCCATTCTTTTTTAAAAAAGAAAATATTTTAATTTGCTACAACATGGATGAACCTAGAGAACATTATGCTAAGTGAAATAAGCCAAAAAATAATAATAATGCATGATGTAACTTCAATGTGAAACCTAAAAGAAAGGAAAAAATGGAACTCATAGAAACAGAGGAGAAAAGTGGTTGCCAGGGACTGGGGTGAGGAAATAGGGAGAGGTTGATGAAAGGATATAAACTTTCAGCTGTAAGATGAATAAGGTCTGTGGAAGGGATGGTGATTATAGTTGATAACACTAGATTGATAACTGAAATTTGCTAAGAGAATATAACTTAAATATTCACACACACACACACACATACACACACACACACACAAATGTGTACAGTAATGGATATGTTAATAACTCAATATGGGAAATATTTTCACATTGTATACATATATCAAATTGTCACATTGCATATTTCAAATATCTTACAATTTTATCTGTGAATTATACCTCAACAAGATGGGGTGGGTGGAGAATACATGAAATAACTTAAAAAGAGGCTTCTACACATCAGTGAGAATAACTAACAAACTTTATATTATTAATAGCTTCCGTTACTGTTTAGCAGACACTTTCAAGGGTAGAAAATTCAGGTGATCACTCTGTCAGCTATCATGATGAACAGAGTTCTAACTGATGTTTCACTACACTACTTAAAACTGCCAAGCTGATAGATGATAGAGCATGGCAATAATTAAATCTGATGATAAGTCAATATCTTACAACAAAAATTAAGGTTCTGTATAATGACAGTATTCTTACTCATATATCAAACTATAAAATTCTAAAATCTAATATTATGATTAAGAACTATGATGTAGCCAAAACTGGTTTGGCTCAGTGGTAGAGCGTCGGTCTGTGGACTGAAAGGTCCCAGATTCGATTCTGGTCAAGGGCATGTACGTTGGTTGCGGGCACAACCCCGGTGGGGGGTGTGCAGGAGGCAGCTGACCGATATTTCTCTCTCATCGACGTTTCTAGCTCTCTATATCTCTCCCTTCCTCTCTGTAAAAAATTAATAAAAATATATATTTTTTAATATTATTTAAAAAAAGAACTATGATACCGAATTGTTTCTGATCCTATAGCTGACCAAATTTTATATACATTGAATTTTAAGAACCAAAATTTACCTATTTAGAAGAACATTTGGCAGATACAGTTCAAGTTTCAAAGACGTACTAAATTAGCTGTTTCTAGTATAGGTAACCAGAAGTTTATTGGAAAGTTATATGATGTGTGTAGATAACAACAAAGTAGACTTCCTTTTAAAGTATGAATCCTAATTCTAAAGCCCTCTTAATTTAGATATTACCTGATATACATATTGTTTTCCACATTGCTTTTTGGAAGGTTAAAGGTAAATCATTAAAATCACTAAAAACAGCATCCTTAATATAAGAATATTTCATTAAAACTTCATCTAAAAAATCAATATTAAAGAATTAAGAATATTATTACAACTTGGAACAAATATTAAATATGTAAACTTAATTATAGTAATCTTAAAAATGTTCTTAGCTGTCAAAATTCTCTGTGCCTTTTCTATGCTTAACTGATTTAATGAAGTCTAATAGAATACTACAAGGTAACAACAGAATAAACAAGTGTTCCTTACCTAGTTACTTTGCAGCTTGATTCAATCAAGTCATTTTCAAAGTCAAGCAGGCTGGAAGGCAGACTATATTCCAATGGGGATGTCAGTCTTTTCAAACGCAACAGACCAAGACAAAATTTTGCTCCCATCTCTTCCAATTCTCGTGTACCAATCTGTAAGCCCTGGGTATAAAGCAATATTATATGTGTAGCTATTATGACTGCTATCCTCTGGATGTATCACATTAAAATTACATTTTAAAAAATTATAATTATATCATTAAGATTAGAAGGTTAATATTTTGTATGGACCTACGACTCAACAGAATGTCTTAGCAATATCAGATATTCTAAGTCATAAAGGAAACTGTTTTTAAAAATCATTTCTAAACTGTCTATTCTTATTCATCAAATGCAAACTATTTTCACCAATACACTGGGGAGAAAAAATACATAAACATTTTGTGCTTATGTTACTCTTAGAATTCATGTGTGGAAATTAGATTTTTGCAAGATCTTGCTAGTATTTCTTGTAATCCACTACTCATGCCAATGTTGAAATATAGAGTTAAAATCAAGGCTCTAATTTGTATACTTGAACATTATAGGTACTTTTATTGTATGATAAACAAAAGAAAGGTAACTATGTCAAAAAAGAAACAAACAAATCTAAGCCATTGAGTATTAGTAAAGTAAGTTCCTATATTCCATGTCAATTAAAAATGCCCATTTCAAATTTTGTCTTCTAAGGCAAAGAGAAAATTTTAGCACAACCCCCATACCCATTATACACAGGAGTTTTCACTAAACAATATAAGGTTTTCTGGAAGTTAAATGTAACAATGTAAAAGGATAAAAATGGAGTGTAAATCAAGATTTTGCTTATCATGTAATTTTCAGATAAAAATAGGTCTCTAAAATAAGTGAAATTCTTGCACCAATAAAAGTTGGATGTATAGATGAGAGATGACATTATTTAGAGACAAGATACTGTAAAACAACTTCTCAATGACAGGACTAAAGGCACAGGCTAAATGAAAAAAATAAATTGTAAAAACTATTAATTAACCTACACGCCTTTATAATAATGACTGATTAACTGATTATTTAATGAGTTTGGCCATCTTAATTTAAGAGCTTTAGAAAGGCTATGCCTATTTCAGAATTATTTCATAGGAAAAGAACATTTACAGCCTAAAATACAGTAATAAAAGAACATTCTCAGGGTGAAGAAATCTTTTTTTAAAAAAATATAATTAGACTCACACAACTTATTAGCTAATATTAATAAGTTTGAAAAGTATAATTATATGCATGTGTGGGATGGAGGTAGGTGGGAATTTTGTACTTTCACTCAATTTTTCAGTGAATCTGAAACTATTCTAAAATATAAAAGTTAATTAATCAAAAAAAGGAAAAAACTAAAAGGAAGTGTATGTTATGATCAAAGAATTGAATTTCAGACATAAAAAAAAAAAACTTGACTTAGTAATACACACTTCTCTTCATGGAGTTTGAATGTTCATGGTAGAGTTGTCCACTAAAAACAATGATTGGAGGACAGAGTTTGGGGGACTAGAATGGTGCTCAAGCTACATTTTCTCTCTCATCACCATCATGCTTTTAGCAAACTAGAAGTCACCATTTTACAATATTTGGAGAGAATTCAAAAGTTATTATTACACTTTGGAAGAAGAGTATTCGGTGGTCAACCTAAAACAGAAAGTACTGAAATGTCATTAAGTTCTATTCTACCACGCCCCAAAAGCTTGAATGTCAGTTGCAAAAATCTACCAAATCTTCTTCCAGCTTGTTTCAGACTAAAAGTCATTACTTAGGCTCTCTCTCTACTTAAACATTCTGACAACTGTAATATGTTTACATTTTTAATACTAAACAACTGGAAGATTTTTAGGTCTTTCAAAACATAAAGTAATAACCATCTTTGTGTGAAGTAAATGAAAATCTCTATTAGATTCAGTTCTCTCTTGCCTTACGTCAAAAACAAAACAGGACACCTAAAAAACCTTTCTGTGCCAAAGATGTTCAGGAAAGATGTTCAGGTTTGTTGTTTCATATATAAAGTCCAATTCATTGTCCATTAACTTCTCAATATTTAAAAATTTTAAGTTCAAAGTCACCTAATGTTTTATTAGTCTTATATTTCAAAAGCAGAGTTTAAACTCAGGTTGTTTCCAATAAAAGTGCATGGCACTACGGAAAAGTAGTCTTAGTAAAGAAAAATATTTAGTGAAGACATATGCATTTAAAAATGACACACAAGAGGTGGGTCAGTGGAGGGGAAAGAGGGAAATCTGAAATACTTTCAACAATAAAAATACATCTCAAAAACTTTATAAAAAAGTGTGGTGTGTTTATTTCTAAATGCATAAAAACATATTTACATCCAAATTAAAATGATATAAACATTTTATTAATAATGTATTACTTGCACAACTCATTATAAATTACTAATCAGTATTTATAACAATATGTTTCCTTAAAAAGTATGAATATAAATATACTCAAGATTTTGTGAGAATCCAAAGTAAGCTATTTGGTTCAAAGAAATTTTTTTAAATGTTTATGGCTGCATACAATTCAATTTCATGATTGCAAATTACATATAACTCAGCATATCAAATGTATCATGGAATATATACTTGAAAACCTTTGGATTATACATATGAAAAAAAGTCTTCAAATATTATTTTAAGGCTAGAAATCCTGAAATGTTTTACCTTATATTTTCCCTGATCACAGCCACACAAAGTACTCTCCATGGTATAGCTTCTTTGTACTCCTATCTCCCTCCAAACTACAACACGTGCTGTGGATTCTTTAGATTTTTCCACTACGAAGCTACAGCTACTCATGCAAAACGCTGGGGCAATATGGCTCAGTATCTTAGGCAAAGTCTGCAAAGATAAGAATGATAAAATAGAATATTTCAAGAAATTTTCTAACAAAATTTTTCTAAGTTTTTAATCTTTAAAAATGTTCATGAAAGCACAGTGATTAAAGCAGGGTCATGCAGATCTTCTTGCTATACCCCCTGCTATTCAAAACATCAAGATAATTCTCTTTCTAACTTACAATTTCTGCTTTTCTAGAAAAATATTCAGAAAATAGAATGGACAAAAGTATCACATTTACTTAGTATAGTAGTAACCAGTAAGTGGAATAAAAACTTATGTTAGAAAATCCATGAAGGAAACATGCTTTAAATAATGAAAAAACTTTACAGTCATGAAAGATGGCTTGACTAATTAAGAGATTTGCCATGTAGCCTTAGCTGGTTTTCTCGGTCGTTAAAGCATCAGCCTTCAGACTGAAGGGCCTTGGGTTCAATTCTCAGTCAAGGGTATGTATCTTGGTTGAGGGGTGTGCAGGAGGCAACCAATCGATGTATCTTTCTCCTACTGATGTTCTTTTCTCTCTTTCTCTCTCTCTTCCTCCCTTCCACTCTCTCTAAAAATCAATGTGAAAAAATATCCTCTGGTGAGGATTAAAAACAACAACAAAAAGATTTGCCACTGTAAATGTCAATCATTCCAAATTAATCAATAAAACTAAGACAATCACAATCAAAATGTCCACAACATTTATGGCAACTTAAAATCATTCTGAAGTTCACCTAAAAATGTAAATATGGGAATATCCCCTAAGGAATTCTGAAAGAAAAAGCAATGACTGGAGAAATAAACCAGCAGATATTAACCTAAATTATATGCCTAAGGTTAAGTTAAATTGTGGTATTGGTGCACGAATAGATATAATCTCTAGAAAGAAAAATTAAAAATTAGAACCAAAAGTAGCTGTTAAAGTTATTACTATTACTAGAGAAAAGACTGATCCCTCACTAACACTGACACCACTGGATAGCCACTAAGACAAACAAGCTCCAGTCACTCATCTTCATTAAATTAACTTCTAATTAGATTGAAATTTTAAATGTAAAATTTTAAAATGAAACTAAAAACAGTAAACATAGAACCATACTTTTAAATCTTGGAATGAGAAAAGTTTTTCTAACCCTTAAATCCCAGAAGCCATTTTTTAAGAATTCAACAAATATGATAAAAGTTTTAAATTACTATACATCACAAAAACATTTGCTACACTTGTAATAAACAGTTTAAAAAACAATAACTAGGTGACCACCACAAAAGTAAGCAGAGAATATGCAAAAAGCCTATTTTGAAAAAGAGAGGGATCATAATTGGTCAAACATATGAGAAAATACTCATCCTAAAAATTATAGATTCGCAAATTAAAAGTATGAGGTATTTTTTTTAACCTAGCAAAAAAAAGTAATAATAGCATTATGTAATAAAGATGTGGAGAAATAGCACTATCATTCATTATACCGGGGAATATCAATTTGTATAATCTTTATGAAGAACAATTTGGCATACTAATTAAATGACCACCACCAGAGGATAACTGGGTAAATTTTGGCACAACCGAACAACAAGAGAAAAGTCACACAATGGAAATCTTGTGGAATTGTCATAAAGACTGACACAGATCTCCATGTGAGGGCCAGGAAAGACGGCCAACAAACATGTGAAAAAACAAGGAGCTGTGGAGCACTGGAAAACAAACAAAAACTTCATATACTCTAGGTATAATCTATGAATTAATGTGTTCAGAATAGCAAAACTGCTTAATCAGTAACTGTGAGATAACTTCCACTGACTACTTTGAATTCCTCAGTTGTTTCCATTTTTTATATAACTCTAACATTTTATTTATTCAGAAAAGGGGAAGAGAGAACCAAAAATAAAAATGTAATTTGACCTTCTGCTAAGGGCAGTGGTAAGTTACTGAAACTTTTTTGCAAATTAACCTAGGGTGCTTGTCTAGGCATAAATGTAGGAGGAGAATGGAAGCACACTGGGCTTAAAGCAGTTAAGATCTCGTGTCCGTCCTCGACATACCTCAAAACACACCCGTGCATGTGGAAAGTGGTGTGCCACAGTCGGCTTTACAAAATCGGCCGAGAAAGGATGTGCTCTTTAATCAATGTTTATACAGAAAACTAAATAGGTCCCCACAATGCAGATCAAATAAATTCAAGATAAACATCTAAATGTGCAAAGCAAAAACATTTGGAAGAAACATTTAAAATGAAAAATTTGAAAGCATAATAGCAAAATGGCAACATGAACAGAAACTGAGTAGTTTATGTTAAATTATTTTCTGCAGTTGTATGCATGGTTGTAATCTCAAAAACTCCTGACTTATCTGCCACAATTACCCTGTATCCAACATCTTCCACAACATCACAGGAACTTGCATTATTATTGGTATGCCACACTGTCTCCTTGATGCTGCAGCCATACATGAATACATTCTTCTTTCGGGAGTGGCCATGATAATCACAATAAACCTTGAAAAGATTATATGTTTTAAGAATTAAAAACCCTCAAATACATATATTTGTCAAGTAGATCTAGTTACCATTAAGCTAATAAACTGGTCTGTGTTCCTTGATCCTTTTACTATAGTAGAGCCACCACTTAGCAAGTAGAGTCAATAAAAGTAGAAATATCTAGTTTTGGAAAGAAACCTATGATTACTAGAATGGATAGAAAGTCTTTTTGCAAGACCTGCATCAAATCACAAATTCCACTCTTATATCTCCTATGCACCATTATAAAAAATAATAAATTCAATTATAGGTTAAATTTACATCTGTTGTCATCACTGCCACAAGGGCTGTTAAAATATTTATCTAATTTAAAAACACATGAAAATGTTCTCATGAAAAACACTATTAAAAACAGTGTGGTTTAAGCCCTGGCCCATGGGAGCCCTGGCAGGTATGACTCGGTTGGAGCACAGTCCCATACACCAAAGGGTGGTGGGTTCGATTCCTGGACAGGGCACATACCCAGATCACAGGTTCATATCCTCTCTTTCTCTCTCTCTCTCTCTCTCTCTCATCAATAATTTAAAAAATAAAAATAAGTGTTTTTTTTAAAGGGTACAGTTTCAATTTAATTTTTGAGAACATCATTTTTAAAATGAAGGACAGGCTCACATGCCAATTTTTCCCCTCTGCAAAATGTTTCTTTCCTAAAGAAAGATTAACTTATTCAAACACTAACAGAATAGAAACATTCTAAACAAAAGCTGCTGAAAGCAGAAGTGCATTCACACAGCTCCTGGAGCCTCCCACCCCACCTATACTACTTTTCCCACATGAGTAGCCAAGACTGACCAGCTTCAGAGTTGACCAAAGAGCTCAGATATAAGCTACTAGTATGAGAATTTTGAAAATACTGTTACCTCAGTATTGTTCAAACAGTGAAGTTAAATACCTAAAATTACAACCAGAAGTTGCCAATATTAAAAAATTAAAAATTAAAGTAAAGGGCTCATGAGAATTATAAAAATTAAATCTGATGAAATAAAAATATAAATACATTATATTGATACCATAATTAGTACACAAGTGACTGATAACAGAAAAAGATATTTTGAAGAAATTGCTTCTAAAATTAACACTTAGCTTTTATATTATAACCAGAAAATCCTATATAATAAAAGCATAATATGCAAATCCACCAAAAAGCAGAACAACCAGTCACTAGAACATGCACTGACCACTAGGGGGCAGACACTCATTGCAAGAGCTGCCCCCTGTGTGGTCAGTGCGCCTCCACAGGGAGAATGACGCTCAGCCAGAAGCCCGGCTCATGGCTGGTGAGTGCATGGTCGGTGGCAGGAGCCTCTCTCACCTCCCTCCGCAGCAGTGCTAACGAGCAGTGAGCCAAGTGGTAAGGAGCAGCAAGCAGGTGGGCGATAAGGAGCAAGGGGTCCCAGTCATCCCCCTATAGGTCCCAAACTGCAAGAGGGCACAGGCCGGGCTAAGGGACATTCCCCTAACCCCAGAGTGCACAATTTTATGCACCGGACCTCTAGTAATATATAAAATACTAAGTCATTAATCAACAAAGTCATGTCTTTGTACAAATACAAACAAACCCTGGCACTTACAAGTGGTAGGCGCTTCACGGCAGCCAGGTACTGTAGCAGCCCCTTTGCATGGTAAATTGTAGGATGCAAATCTGGATTTGGACTCTGCCATTGTCTATTCAAATCCTCTCCACTTAAAGAACAGCGGTGACTACACAAAAGCAAACACAATGATAGACAAACACTGATACCAATAAATTCTAAAATATATTTGATTTGATTTGATGAATCAAATTCTATTTCACTAAAAAGTTCAAATTGGTATAGATGGTGGGCTCAACAAAATGCATATTTTAGTCATTAAATAATCATTTATTAAGCATTTGCTGTGTCCAAAATCCTGTGTTACATGCAATTAAGTGTGGTAATAAGCTTTCAGATTCATAGGTCAAAACTTTCAAGCTATAGAAAAATACTAATTCTCAATTCTGGGATTTTATTCCATACTCTATAAAAATTAATGGCCATATTTCCCATTCTGATACATAATAATCATTTTATACTAACATTTTATATTTTGATTATATTAGTTATTATTAAAAGTGCTATCTGGGCCCTCCTAAGAAAGGTTAGTTTATGAAAAGCATATATACTTAAATACATTTTCATTTAATCATAGATATAAAGTATTACATCCACTGAGCAAAAATTTAAGCAAACAATCAGAAGATGATAACAGAAATATAAACAGGATTCTAAGTGATTAAAATGTAAAATTTCATTTTAGTTCCATTACCATAACATAGCTAAAAATAAAAATTCCTCTTTTTAAAATTTTCCTAAAATATGAGAAAGATTCATGCTACACTTATTGAATAGAACACAGTACCCTCAACTTTGGAGATGCTCATGTCAAATTCCATCTTTCCAATGCACTAAAAAGACCTTGTCTAATTGCCACAATAAATGAATTATACTAACAATGAGCAATGAGCTACCTTCACTTAAAAAGAAGTATCCTCTAGCATCTCCAGTCTAAAGAATTCCTTCTGTCAGAGACTGGACTTCCTTATATCAGGAAGAAGTTAGCAGATGGACCCAACATGCCATATAAGTGGAAAGAGATCCCAGGAGATTTTAAATCTTACAACTATGATCACACCATTAACAAAATTAAAAAGGAAATATAAGAGGACATGTTAAAAAAAAATCTTTCTCATATCCTAACACTATGATTTTTCTAAAATATTTCAAGCAAGACAGACATTTTATGAAATCATACTGTCATGAGTACAGAATTTGTCAAAATGCCATACTACTAATATACAAAATATATTTTCATTTAAAAATGTATCTTAAATTAATTCCCCACTAAAAATTTGTTCTAGCAAAGTCATTAGATTTGCTCTCCAAATTCACCCTGGATAATATTATTTCAACAATCTTAAATAGGCTAACCACAATTATTTATAGTATTTCTATAACTAATGCTTAACTTACTTTCCATTGATGACACCATCTGGATTTAGCATAGGGACAATTTTAAAAATATAGCATTCTCGTAAGCTCTGAGCAGTAGGGCTATTACTCATGAGATACTCCAATGTTCCTTTCATTACCCAACTTGCATTAGTTTCTCCAGGATGTACCCGAGCAGATAAGAAAACGTAAGGGCGGTTTCCTAAGGTACACATAAAATCTCAAATTAAAATGAACAACGACTAAAAGTTTGTATGATGTTTGACTTTGGAGCTTTAGAAATATATCTACTTAATCATGAATTCATAGAATTCAGCGTGCACCTACTAGCAACAAGCACTGTATTAGGTCCTGGAGAGGAAAACAGATAGAAACCCATGCAAGCCACGTCCTAAAGGAGTTCATAATATGAACATAATGCAATAAATACTACATGAGTCACTTATTTACCAATCATTAATCTAATATAAAAAATATTTCTTACTGAAACCGGTTTGGCTCAGTGGTAGAGCGTTGGTCTGCGGACTGAAAGGTCCCGGGTTCGATTCCGGTCAAGGGCATGTACATTGGTTGCGGGCACATCCCCTGTGGGAAGTGTGCAGGAGGCAGCTGGTTGATGTTTCTCTCTCATCGACATTTCTGGCTCTCTATCTCTCTCCCTTCCTCTCTGTAAAAAATCAATAAAATATATTTTTTAAAATATATATTTCTTTAATATTGGTTTTATAAAGAACAAGTAGGTAGGGAAGTTTTAAATATAAATTTATTTTTCATAAAGTCATTGGGAAAAGAAGGAAATATAATCTTAACCGTTTTACAGTCACTATGACAAGTACAGAAAAAAAAGGCATATCTTCTCAGAAATTTACAAAAAGAAATATTTTCACTATGCGTTTAGATATACCCATCTACAAAATAACACTCAGTTCACCTGATCATATTTTCATGCGAAGCAAGATCTCTTCCCTGAAAATATTTTACTTTCTTATAAAAATTAGAACAGTTTTCTTATTTTTTCTACCCCAACTATATATCTGAGGCAACTTTAAAAAAATAAATGGGCAAGAAAAACAAGTAGCTAGAATTAAAACACTTGATAATTTTCTGGTGGTTTTATTTATAAATAAAATTAGGTATAAATTTGATTGATGACATTATTACATAGACTCTTAAAATGATTTGTTACATTATGGTTATGACTTACAAGAATAAGAACTACAGAATATCAGTTTCAAAAGGGACCGTAGAGATCATCTCACAAAGCTTTCTCTTTTTCGAGATGAGGAAACTGAGGCCCAGAAGTAGACGAGGGCTAGGCAGTAACAGGACCAGGACCTCTGATGCCTATTCCTGGTGTTATTGCCCTCGCAGATATACATAAAGCAAAGGAAAATAAGTAAGGACGACTGGCATTTTGAGTGAAGAAGACAGACTTACTGAATTGACAGATATGTTCATAATAATTAGACTCTGGCATTGCTGTTATAGTCACCAGGGGACAGCTGTTTCCAGACAGGGTTTCACATAACACATCTCTTCGAAAATAGATTTGCTGAGGGTTGTGCGCTGATTCCAATTTTTGAAGATGCATCTTGATAAAAATGTAAAAATAAAATATATAATTATTTTAAAAACTCCTATGAAAAATAGAAATAAATGCACCTAGATCTCAACATAACTAAATGTCAATCAGATTCCTAATCCCTCCTCTAGAACCCTCAGGGGCCAGATGTCGTTCAAACATCAGTATTTGGGGAACTCAAGGCTTAAATGTGCAATACCATAAACAGGGTCAGAAGCAGCCTGTATAAGCATGTTATTAAATCTGCAACAAAACATAAGAAGAATCCAAGTAGAGTCAATATTTTAAACAGGCTCACATCAATTTAGGCCAGGCTTTGCTGCCCAAGTGGGCTATGAAAAAGCTTTTGGTTCTCAAAGCCTTTTGAATTTTGAAATGATAAATGACTGTAGACCTACAAAATAAAATTATTTTTGTTGCTACTTCATAACTGTAATTTTGCTACTGTTAATGAATCATAATGTAAATATCTGTGTTTCCCGATGGTCTTAGGTTCTACAGCAGTTGTTCTCAACAATTCATAGCAGTAGCAAAATTACAGTTATGAAGTATCAACGAAAATAGTTTTATGTTTGGGGGTCACCACAACATGAGGAACTGTATTAAAGGGTCACGGCATTAGAAAGGTTGAGAAACACTGACTTACAGTAAGAAGAGCCTAGCTGAGTCTGCACAATGAGGAAAGGTCTCCTAAGAAAATATTACATTTAAACTGGGAACTAAAGGATGAGTGAAGAGGACAGAGGAGAGAGGTACAGGCAGAGGAAAAGTGTGCATGAAGAACACAAACTACTGGTAACTGAGATAACTAAGGTTGTGTGGATTACCTTTAAAAAATGTAATAGGTATGTATTTCATTGTGAATTAGAAAAAAGTCTATGCATTAAACCTGCATATTAACTTAGGATGTGGATAAATTTAAAGAGTGAGTTATTTTAAAAACTATTTAATAATAAATATTAAGTAAATAATAGCTCACACAGTTTGTAGAGATGGCAAAAATTATAGAAGAAATGAAATGACTTGGTGAGAATTTAAGACTTTGTGCAAATGTTTAGCAAAATCTCGAAGGACTCTTAGGCAGGGATGTTATATGATTAGATTTGCCATCAAAGAATTCTCTTGTTATAGTGTGGGGAAAAGACAGATAAAGAGGAAACGGGATAAAAATAAGTTTTAGGACACCAAGTCCAGGTGAGAAAACATGCAAATGCCTGGGAAAAAAGGTCATGGGATTGAAAGAAAGTAGGGGAATTCAACATACATTAAAAAGGTATTTTTATATACCTTTTATAAAACATCAGTAAAGAACACTAACATGTAACCCTCTAAATAACAACAGTATATATTCTGATGCTATGTTATTCAGAGAAATACCTGATAATACCTTTAATGCAACCTTTATTAAAATAAATGGAGCCTCATTTAGTGTCCCCAGCCTTGTTGCCTCTGCTGCTTCATGGACTGTGCTTTTCTCTCATTTTCCCCTCTCTAATCATGTGGAAGCTTGTTTCTATCCCTACTGCTCCAATTCCTTTCTGGGTAAATTGATATCTTTATGATCCCTAGTCAGTAGGATAGTCATTCTGTACTGAGAGTAAATCTACCACAGTAATTACTTGAATTCACTTGTTTTATTTTGTTTTACAATGCAAATAATAAAAAATCTCAAAAGAACCCACAAAGCAACTCTTGTATCCCAAATTCTAAGCACCTAGATCTAGGACTACATATAAAACTATTAGAAGAAATAAATTCCCTATAGAAAACTTTAATTGCATCCACATTTTTCTACTGTTAGATTTTCCTATCGGATCCAATGTTTCTCATTAAACAGGTGGAAATCTCATCCAGTTAAAATCTGAAAATCATGGAATCTTAGAGAACTGTAGATTTCTACCCAAAGATAGAAAGTAAAAATAATGTCAAATTTCCTTCCTAATACATAAAAATAAAGACTACATCCCCATTTATACCCTTTAATGTTTTCAACAAATATATTATTATCTAAAATCTTCAACACTGGATCTTTTTCTTATTTCATTAATAAAATTAATTAAAGCAATTTTTCTTCTATTATCTGACACATATACATGTAATACAATAATAATCATAATTCAACTTAATGAGTTCTCACCTGTAAAGTTGAGTACGTATATGGATAGTGATAAGCAAAGTAGCAAACATCATCTTTATGTGGGAAATTGATAGTGAATGTAATTGTATAGTAGGATTTTCCCTTTTGCCCACCTGCAGCAACTGAACTTCTTGAGAAGTGATTTCTGCAATAGAAAAGCATAAAACATTTATTTCTTCCATACAAAATCCTGATGTTTTTTCCTTGTTATTATATTAATTAGAACTTCAAAGTGGGGAGAAAAACCATTGTTTGTGAAAAGCACAACGTAAGTAATCTATAAAAATAGACTTGATACTAATAAAACAATTAATTTCTATTAGGCAACATCGTTACTGTTCACTTCTGGATTTACTAAATAAATAGAGATAATACCCTACACATCAATAAAGCTTTTAGAACCCATTCTTTGATGGCCATACACATTACTGGTAGACAATGATCATCAATGGCTGCTACAACCATTAGATGAAAGGCTGATAAACGCCTTTGCAGTGGATGGATCAGAGGGTGGGGTGAAAGCAGGTTTACAGTTGTTTGTTTATAAAAAGAAGATAATATAATAGTTAAGAAACAATAACACAAATATAAACTGTGTTTTTAAACATACTCACAACTGTAAATCTACTTTTGCTTCACCCCATATATGAATTCACTAGTCAATGCTCAGGTCTCCTATGTAACATGGCATAGATGAGTGAATATAGTTGGCCCTCCAACTCTGCTGACTCCCAACCACAGAGCGAAAACAGTACAGGTATTTATTGGGGGGAAATTCACATATAAGTGTCTCCGTGCAGCTCAAACCTATATTATTCAAGGGTCAACTACATTTCCACTAAATGTATCCCTAAACTGATCTCAAATTTTAAAAAATTCTGTTAGAAGTAACACTAAAGCATATCACCACAATTCAAAGAATGCAATAACAACTCTACTTTTTAATCCTTAAATTGAAATAGAGTGAAATTAATATCCCCTTCAGTAAATTGATGTCCTAGTAGTCTTAGAATACTTACTTATAGTAACAAATGTCCGTCCCCACACGAGTCCACCATGGTCTGGCATTTAATGCTTCCTGAACTGAATACATGAGTGGTTGCATACCTTTGACAGAGAGACAGAAAAAGAAAATTAATTCCAAATTTTTGAGATAAAAATTAATTTTGCCATTGTAGAAAGCACCAAATATTCAGAAAGTTAAAAGGCAACAACACATTGCCATTATTTTAGTATATATTTTTTAAAAATCTGAGAAATTTCTTTAAAATCTATAAGTCAATCAATATGATTTAATTTCCAGTTTAACTAAAATAGATTTCAACTTTAATGAGTGAAGTCATTAAACTTTTTTCTATTAACTTTTCAATGTTAGATTAAAATAAAAAGGAATATATAGAGATATATACACACACACACATACACATCTTCTAATAAGTGAGAGAGTAAAATAAAAAAGAAAAGGGAATAGCTCTATAGCTCTCCAAGGATTATCTACACCGAAGAAAAAGAAAAAATGCCATCATAATAGCATGGTTATTTTCTTCCTCAGCCTTCTTCCCCTACGAATGTGATTATAGCAGGGAAGAGGAGAAGGAAGGACTGTTAACAAAATAGGATTAAATATATAGTATATTTTCTTGGGTACTTTTGGAAATTTAAAATCACCTTATCCTATTTCATAAAAGAATGTACTGGGTTTATAACTGGAGTTAATTAAATTCATGTTATTTTTACAAACGATGATCGTTTTTTGAGATTCAGGCTGAGGTCAAAGGGCACATTAGATTTATCTGAAGTATTCTAGTTATAAAAAAGACAATGTATTCTTACATTACTTTTAAAATAATAAGAAGGGAGCTATATTTGGAAATTCTGACTCTAATAAAAGCCATATGAACAAAACAGGGTGCCCAATAAAAATCAATCAAATGAGATCATTCAGGCTGAATACCACAATCTATTCAAAATGATATAGAAAAGCTATCTTTGAATAATTAATATAGTCATTAGCCAAAGAATAAAACCTTGATGTACATAAAACAAATACACTAAGAACTTCCCATCTTGTCATATGAATATAGATGATCAAAATATTAAATTGCCTCAGTGAAGCCAACACCCAATGACATTAACCTCTAATACTACCCAAGTAAAGGCCAAAGTTGTATTGAGTACATTCTCAATAACAGGTGCAGATACAAAGAAAGACAAGGTGTTTTAAGCACTAATCATCAAATGTACCATGAAATCACTGACTCACAAAATTTTCAAGTTGAAGATAATACCCTCAATTAACAGATCAGAGGAATAAGAAAACTTTAAAATGGAGCCTGAATAAACTTAGGGGCACCTATCACAAGTGGCATTTTTTTCTGGGCTCGTGGCTCTATAGAGAAAAAACACATAGCTAGTACAACAGAGACTTATACTAAAAAAGAGGAAGGCCAGATTCTTGGTCTAGAGCTAACAGCGGTCACGTGAATCCCATGGGGATATGTCAAAAGGACACATAAGCCAGCATAAAAGATATCCCATTGGCTAAATCTTGGGCAATTGTGTGTCAAATAAATAATGATAGAAAGAAATTATAAGCCACTGAGTAAAAGAGGAAACCAGTTCATCTATCCATTGCTTCATTCATTTAACAAATATTTACTGACTATGAATTAAATGCCATGGTATAAATACAGTGGTCAGCAACAGAGATACTTTCTCTGGCCTTATGAAATTTACAAGCAAGTAGTAAGGGTAGGCAGAGAAGATATTAATTCACACACAATAACAACATAAAGATGTAAAGAACACCCTGAGAGGAAAAGGTTACAAAGAACATTTATCAAGGAGACTAATCCAGTCTAGAGAGTCAGGGAAGACTTTCTTAGTCAAAAGATCACGAAATTAACTAATGTGGGAAATTTAGAATCCTACATACTAGACTCCAAAATTCTATTTTGTTGCTTGATTCTACAATGTTCAATTTATATAAGAAGGTTGTTAAAAATCCTATTTATATGGGAGACGATGGAGAGTGAGGGGAATGGGTGAGGAAAACAGAATGCAAGAGTGCCAGAGAGGAAGCGCTAATGAAAGCTTAAAATTTTACTAAAATACAAGACTGCCATCTAGTGGTAACTTGAGCAAACCCCTTTCAAGTACTGAGGGTGAGGGTAAGAGATCATGGATTACAACAGATACCATATAGCACTATTATACAGTGTCTTAAATTCTCAAATGTAAGTTCACAAATAAGATAATTCATTTTTTAAAAATAAAAGAAAAAAGAAAGGAAATTAAGTATTTAGTATAATTCTCTTAAATATCCCCAGAAAAGAACAACTTGAGAAACAAAAGCAGCAGTAATACATTCAGCTTGTTTTGGGGGGAACTGCCAAAGAACAAGACCTCTTTAAGGCACCTTTGCTAAAATCCAACATTAAGTAGTCCACCAACCAGTATGTCCCAATCAAGAAAAGAAAAATGTTCAAACAATAGGCTATTTTTCTAATTACTATTATTACCTGATATCAATCACATATGGCAATTAAATAAATCCTTCCAGCTGAAGAAGTTCTACTCAGATATTTTTAGTCATCAGTATCCTCTCTTAAAGTGACTTCAAAATTAATCTGATGATAATAACAATATCTATACAGCTACCGTGTTTCCCCGAAAATAAAATATCCTCCTAAAATAAGACCTACTTACAGATTTCCTTCTGAGTGAAATATAAGGCATCCCCCCAAAAATAAGGCCTCCCCTAGGCTCTGTCTCAGAATGCTATTACTAAACATGAGAGATTTGGTCCACTGATACTGAAAGAAATGGAGTCACAAGAAATTCACAAGGAAATTCAGGAATTGGATTGTTATGATGATGTTCCAGATGATGACATGATTGTCATTGAATAAATGAGTAAATTCTTGATACTGTAGAATTCACAGTTCGTCTGGTTTGTGTTGACAACTACCGTACTACCGTACCGTATACAGGTAATAAATTTCCTTTATTTTCATTTAACAATAAATGTGTACCATATTCTTCTTCATGGAAAAATAAGACATCCCCTGGAAAATAAGACCTAGCGCATCTTTGGGAGCAAAAATTAATATAAGACACTGTCTTATTTTCGGGGAAACAGGGTAGTTATAAATTCTTAAAATGTTGAATTCTAATTTACTAAAATATTGGTCCCTTTCTTCTTCTAATTCAATTCTTGTTATGACAAACCAAAATCTGCTCTATGTTGTATTAACTTAAATCTTATGATAGAGTTTCATTAAAAAAAAATTACAACTTCCTAATAGCTACTAGCTGCTTCTATAAATGTTTACAAATATGTGGAAAGAAAAAGGAAAATCAACAGACAACTTCTTGTTAGAATCTGGGAGGAATCTATACTAAATTTAAGGCAGATAGAGCAAGACTGAGAAAAATCCAAATATGCTCATGACCTATTTTTTATAGACATATTTTAGATTTCCACAAAGAATGTTATACTACACTTTGAAATTTCTTAAAAAATAACAGATAAAGATATAATTTTAAAAAGTACAAGAAATGAAACGCATAAAAACATCAATTATCAAGAAAAATTTTAACAGGATAAAAATCACATATTAATAGAGTAAAACAACAAAATGAAAACTCTGTTTACAAGAAATAAGATGCAAAGATATCAAATTCAAAACAAAAAATATTAAAATAGAATTCAGGGCAAAAAATACTGCATGGAATAAATATGGCTACTTTATACTATTAAAAGGTAACATGAAAATGTGAAAGATTTTTATATACCAAATAATCCTGCCAGGGTTGGGGTTTGATCCCCAATAGGGGGCATACAGGAGGCAACTGAGAGATATTTCTCCCTTATATCAATCTTTCTCTCTTTTCCTCTCTTAAAATCAATAAAATAAAATATATAGTATTACAAATAAGCTTTACTACTGTAATTCTAACTCTATAAAAGAATAAAATTGAAATTTAAAATTATGTGAATGTGAGTCAATATAGGGATAGATACAAAATGCTAAACAGTACATTTTCTTTTCTCATTCCTTCCTAAAAGAGTCTTTTAAACTATTTTTAATTTACCAACTTCCTATATTAAAGACCCACTGTTTAATAATCAGGAAAAAAACACATTTACAGTTGGCAGATAGATTTTAAAAATTCCACTCCTGTGAATTGATAACTAAATATTATATACACAAAGATTTAGTATAATGTTTATCTCAGCATTATTTAAATAGAAAACACTATAATTAGAAACAATATAAATATCCAATAAAGAAATGTTGATATAAATAAGTTACAATATCTCCATAGGATGCACATTAAATTCTGTTTCAGACACATTCAATGACCAGAAAAAAATGTTGATGATATGTTTGGTTAAAATACAGATTATGAAACTTGCATAGGTTATCAGCCTCATTTTTTAAATAAATATATAACTATGCATACATAGAAATCACATATTGCATTATTAAAATGCCTAGTAGGAAACAACTAATGTAAAAATGATTCTCTCTGGATGATGCATTGATGGTTTTTATTTTCTTAACACCAATTTGTTTTCTATGATAAATTCTCCACAAAATGGCCAAAATTGGTTTGGCTCAGTGGTAGAACGTTGGTCTGCGGACTGAAAGGTCCCGGGTTCGATTCCGGTCAAGGGCATGTATATTGGTGCGGGCACATCCCTGATAGGGGGTGTGCAAGAGGCAGCTGGTCGATGTTTCTCTCTTATCGACATTTCTAGCTCTCTAGCTCTCTCCCTTCCTCTCTGTAAAATATCAATAAAATATATTTTTTAAATAAATTCTCCACAAAATGAGTTTGAAAAGTGTGATATACATATAAAAATATCCAGCCCTGGCCAGATAGGAGGCTCAGTTGGTTGTCATTCTGTACACCAAAAAAGTTGCAAGTCCAAATTCTGAGTTAGGTCACATACCTAGGTTGCAGTTTGATCCCTGATCAGGGCATGTAAGGGAGGCAACAGATGGATATTTCTCTTCTCTAATATCAATGTGATGTTTCTGTTTCATTTCTCTCTCTCTCGCTCTCTCGCTCTCTCGCTCTCTCGCTCTCTCGCTCTCTTTCTCTCTCCCTCCCTCCCTCTTCTCCTTCCTTCCTCCCTTTCTCCCTCCTTCCTTCCCTCCTCTTTTTACTCCTCTCTCTCTCTCTGTCTCTCTCTCTCTCTCTCTCCCTCGCTCTCTCTCTCTCTCTCTCTCTCTCTCTCTTTTCCTCTCCCTAAAATCAATGAAAACATATTCTCAGGTGAGGATTTAAAAAAATAATATCTAATGGGCAAGAGGTAAGGAAGAAGGACAATTTAAAAATAAAGCACTCACCTATCTCATTGCTTTATTTTAGTTGCAGAATTATATTCATTTTAAATTTAAAATGACAATAGAGTAATAAATTATAGATGTATCGAATTTTTAAAAACAAAAAGAGCATTTCAAATGTATGTTTTTAATTCTAAAAATTTAAATGTTGAATAAAGTTTAAAGTAAGAGTATGTACATGTATATAGTTCATAAAAATACCATCTGCCTTAGTCAGCACTAAAGTTTAAAAATTATACTGATTATCATTTCAGCAATAAATATGCCTTTATGTTTTAATCTTAAAGAGCACTCAAAATACAAATACAATTACATTTATGTATCTTTTTCTCCACTAAAATATTTTGTTAGCATTATACTTAAAGTTAAATAGGAAAAACACAATATTCTTTTACTTGTTTTGGGTATTTTTAATGAATCCATTAAGGTCATTTTTAAGTTATACAAACATTTAAGGTCAACAAACAAATGTTCCTAAGAATTAGGGCATTCAATGATTAGTATTTATACCTAAAAATCAAAAATTAAGAATGTGAAATAAATTACCAAGAATATTTGTACTATTCATGCAATTCAATATAATCACTGAAATAATCCTTAAAATTAGATTATTTCAAAATTTTAATATAACTAAACCAGTTATTATGCTACCTAATCTTCTTATACTTAGTACATTAAATTAGTGAATCTGACTAAAGCTTTCATGCCATACATGTAAAGTGATTAGAGTAGATAATTTCCTGTTTTCCACATAAATAATGACAATTGGGAACAACCTCTTCAACTCTTGAAAGGTTCAATTTTCAGAAACGCCCCCTTCAAGAGCATCTTCATATTCATGCTTTTAACAAGTTAAAACATTTGAAATAGATGACATGGCCTCTCATTCCTTAGTTGTTAAAAGCTTTTCATCCTTACCACAAATGACTTGAGACCTCTGAGATTTTGCAACTTGTCAGACAAAATATATCTGTAAAGAATTATTTTCTTTTACCCCAAAATTATCAGATTAAATACTTGAAAATTGATGTTTCCATTTTAAATGACTGATCTTAAGTTTTTACAATTATATTATCTTTCACTGATATATTTGACTATAAAGACTGATGCATGAAAAAGAACTCATAGTTTTGTTTGTTGGTTTTTTTTATATATTTTTATTGATTTCAGAGAGGGAATGAGAGGGAGAGATAGAAACATCAACGATCAGCTGCCTTCTGCACTCCCCCTGCTGGGGATCAAGCCTGCAACTGGGCATATGCCCTTGACTGGAATTGAACCTGGGACTCGTCAGTTCGCAGGCTGACACTCTATACACTGAGCCAAACTGGCTAGGGCTATATTTTTTAAAGTACTAAATACATAGCCTTAACTGAGGCTATGAATTTAATATTTTTTCTGGCACAACACCGGTTTTGTTTTGTTTTTTAATTGCCTCATGAGGAAACAATAGAGAAAGCCAATGAAGCAAAAAGCTGATTCTTTGAAAATGTCAATAAAATTGGCAAGCCTCAAGCAGGACTGCCAAAGAAAGAGAAGACACAAATTGCTATTATCAAGAATGAAACAGGGGATATCACTGGAGACCCTGCCAACATCAAAAGGACATTAAGGGAGCACTCAGATCAACTAACACATATTTTACAATTTAGAAGAAATAATTCAATTCCTAAAAACACAAACTAACACAACTCACTCAAAATAAAACAGATAATTTATATGAAAGAAACTGAATTTCTAAGTTAAAAGACCACCATATAAGAAATCTTCTGGCCCAAGTAATTTCTTTGAAGAATTCCACCAAATGTTTAAGAATCAATACTAAATCTACACAATCTCTTCCAGAAAATAAGAGGAAGGAACATTTCCCAACTCTTTTATAAGCTCACTACCATCAAGACATACCAAAGCCAAATAGAGTACAAAACAAAAAGAAAATTATTGCTCAATATCCCTCCTAAAGAGAAATATAAAAATTCTTAACAAAATATTAGCAATTATACACAGTGGCCAAGAGGGGTTTGTTACATGGATAAAAAAAAAGCTGATTCAATATTCTAAAATCAATGTGACATATCAGATTAATAGGCTAAAGAAGAAAAATCACATGATCAAATCAATGAAGAAAAGGCATATGTCAAAATTCAATACCCATTTACAATAAAAAGTCTCAGAAAACTAATAATGGAAACTTCCTCGCGTAGATTTTAAAAATGTACAGAAACCTCCAATTAATATCCTGCTGAATGGTGAAGTATGAAGGAGTAGCACAGGCTATGTGGTGAAGGAGGTACACTGTATCTTGATTGTGGTGACAGTTACAGTAATCTACACATGTGATAAAATAGCACAGAATTATGCACCCACATTTTACCAATGTCAAATCCTGGCTTTGATACTGGACTACAGTTATGTATGATGTAATCGCTGGATGAACCTTAGTGAAGAAAACTCGGAACCTTTCCACAGCTTCTGTGATTTTTAACTTTCTATGAATCTATTCAAAATAAAAAGTTTAAAAAGATTGCTTTCTGCAATTCTCTGAGCTGACATGAGTAACTTGAGCAGCACACATGATACATTTATAGTGGCATTCAATTTGGATGAAATCAACCATACTCATTACATTTTAAAGGGCTTGCCTCCACACAAGGATAACTCTCGTTACTAACAATGCAAAGCTTAGTCTATGTCAAATTCTGCATAACATCTGAATTTTGAGAACCAGAGAAAACAAAAGAACACAAACTTTTTTTTTAATTAGCAATTTTTTAATTATATATCTCTTGGATATGAATCCTATGTGCCCTCTAAGTTGGGGGGGAAAACGGTCTTACCATAATTAAACTGACTGTTGGACTTTTCACAGTTAATGATGTTAAACCTGTAAGCAACCCCTGGACGCATTCCACTGACTTCAAAGTAAAACCACTGATGATAATGGTTACTATTTATATCCGAGTTCAGAATAAGATCATATTCATTTCTGAAAATAGAAAATGAAGAATTCTGATGAAAATGAGGAAAGTATCTGTGCACATACAAAATGAGAAAATTTTAAATTACTTACTTTCTCATTTGAATTACTTTGCGCAGATTCCCAGATTCAAATTTGGAGTTAAACTTCAAAATATCTACTTCTTCTGGAACAATGAAACTAAATAAAAATTTTAAAGTAAGCATAATAAAATACATTGCCTTTAAGAAGGTAAGCAATAATAAACATAAAAATACACTACTGATTAAAAAATCCACCCTTACTACCTCACCTTCCTTTTTGAAACCAAAAAACATAACCAACACAAGCAAAATACAAACTCTGGCTAATACCTATAGAAAAAAAATTATAATTACAAGTAGAGATTTATTCCTACATTGATAGCAAATGTTAATAAAAATAAGAATTTTTGCCTCAGTGAATAAGTGTCATTTCTAAGTATGTACTAGTAATCATATAAAAAAAAAGTCAGACTTACTTTTTAAAATGCACATGACCTGTTCTGAGTACTAATAATTGTAACTAAGCAGTTCTGAAGTAAAATATTATTTTAAATTTAGATAAATACATTATCTATTATCTTCTAATACTTAGAAAAATGGAGGTATTATCCTCATTTTACAAACTAATTACTTTAGTAAATACTTACTGAGCAGCTACTAGGTGCCAGATACTCTTTTTTGTCTGTGTCCCTAAAAGAATACAAATTCTTGCTCTTCTGGAGCCTACATTTAATAGGGGAAAACTCCAAAAAGCTCAAAGATTTTGTTCAAAATCATTTCAGTTAAAAATATGCCACACTCAGAATTCTTGAGTTTCTGTTCTTACCACATCTGCCTCGTCTGTCTGACACAGAATTACAAATGTTGAAATAACTAAGAGTAATAAATAAGAAGATTTGTTTTTCATTTTTAAGAATATTATTTCAACTTCAGTCATTATCCTTTAATAAAAGTCTTTGAAAAGTGCTTTATTTCCTCCAAATAATACCAATAAAATATGAAATTTTCCAAAAATATTAGAATGTTAAGGGGGAGGGAAAAATCCACTGAGGGCTAATTAAATTTCTCATTTGATGATGCAAATGACTAAATAATTGTCACATTCACAATTTGTAATTTTCATTTATTTACTTTTACATAAACCCTAAAATGTAATTATATTAGTGATAATCCTAAACTGTAAAGGCCACTACCACATCAAGCATCACAGTAGGCAAGTAATTTCAAGGACTGAAGCAGATTATAAACAGTAAGAGACAAAGGAGCATAGCAGGTACTGTGGAGAATTAGCAAACTTGTATTCCTCTTGAAGGGGGTGGTAAATTATTGTTCTAAGGATATGAAAGCTAAATATTACAGGACAAAATTTAAGAATTTCAGATGACATCTCCACTCTTTTGAGTGGAAGTAATTTTAATTTTTTAAAATTAAATTTTTAAGCATCAATTTGTGACCTTTACCTTATTAAACCCATTAAAAGTCCACCTAAGAACAAACAAAAGCTTGTGATAGATTCAATTTAAGTAAATAAACATGATTTTATTACTGCATTATCATTATATCCCTGCTAAAAACTGAAAGTGTAGTGAGAGTAAACCGGGTGGAATTTAAAAGATAACCCTTATCTTTTAAAAATAACTGAAATTTTACAGTAAAAATAAAACTAATAAAAGTAAAACAAAACAAAACAAAAAAATCAGACTTACTTTGGGTTATCTAAGTCATACACCACTCGATCTATGATATCACTCTGATGTATCAGCCTCTCGATATCTTGGGCAATTTTTGTCCTGAAATCATAAAGGAGATGTTTGACCAAAATTCACTGATATATGCCAAGGCACAACTTTCTCCAAATTAAGTTTTGGATAAAAATAAAGTATAAAATGATTTTAAAAAAAATTTTTAAAGATGGCCATTCTTCTATATATATTTTGTGTACCAAAAAATTGTCGCTATATAACAAGACAAATTTCAGTATTTTTAAAGTCTGAGTTCTAGAAAATAACATGTAGAATACAGTTACAAGCTCAATAGTTTTGGGTTTTTTTAGTCTTGAACGTCTACTATCCTCGTAACATAGAAATTGTATGGAGCCACTCTCTAGTCCTTACGCAAATAATTTTGTATACATAATAACAGCATTATTAGAAGCAGTAAAGATCTGAAAAGCCAGAGATTGTATAAGAAACAGATTTTTAAAACCCACCCTCACTGGTATATAGCTAAAAAGCAGTTGGGAATCGGCCTGCACATTCTGCAGAGTCCATTCTCTCTTCTACAGCTGGAGAGGAAATGTGCAGGGGAGGAAAACACTTGTGTTGGGAAATGTGCAGGGGAGGAAAACACTTGTGTTGGGAAGCGGAAGGCGGACCCCCTGCAGCTCCAGGATTTTCTAGGCCTGACCTTCCTCTGACTCAGTACAACAACATAGACACCAACTTACTGGAAAATTCCTAAAATCCCTGCCACTGTCCTAGAAGATTCAGCCATCTAGAGACCTCACAATCTTCAAGCCAAGGAACACAACAGTCACCAAAAGTGGTAGCAAACTGTAGCTGAAACAGAATAGATCTGGTTCAGAAAGCCAGGTGCCTGGAACTGCAGGTAGATTGGTCACAAAAGCCATATTGGGAAGGTGCCTGCTGGTGTTAGCTAATACATAGCTACTTCTCAGAGTATTTACTCTGTGAGGGTTGTTTCAAGATCCCAGGGATGCTTGAAACAGCAGACAATAACTAACCCTATATATGTTTTCTTCTCCACATACACACCTAGGATAAAGTTTAGTTTATAAATTAGGCAGAGTAAGAGACTGACAACAATAACTCATACTAGCTGCATTTGTGCTTTTTGAGGGCCATTCCAGCACTGCAAGAAGCCAGCTGCCTCTGGATGGTGCAGTCTGTGGTACAACCAGGAGGTGCCAAGGAATGGGCCCACTCCCACACACCCTTCCCAGCAGAGTAAGTCCCCTTCTTGATCCTCTGTGCTTCCATGATATGGTTGGGTGTATTATGCTGGTTTCACTTGAATAAGTAATGAGCTTAGAAAATAAACTAAATACCTAAGGACAATTTCAAAACAATGTAAAATTCCCAACACAGGATAAAAATTATAGTAACTTTAATCTAGAGTAATTTTCTTTCTAAATATCCAGTTTTTGTAAGTGTGCCTCATATTTTGACAATGGTCTTGTTTAGAAAGAAGAAGGAATCTGCAACTCACCTTTGTACACCATAAGGCCTTTCTAAAATAGGCTCCTTGAATGGAGGCGGAATGTGACCAAAATAATCAGGATAAGCCACTTCTGAATATTCTGGGACAGACTTTGTATTTTTCACAATCTCAATGTAGAGGTCTGAGTCATGCAGTGTTGGTCCATCATCAGCAACTTCAACTGATACTTGTTCCATTGATGAAGCAAACTCAGTATCTTCATCATCCTCAATCTCGACTCCAGTGCAGCAAAGCTTCCCTAGCTGAACTGTTCTTCCCTCAAACAGAACATTCCCACAAGCAGCCACGTGTGGGCACGCTTTAGAGCATGTAACCACGGTAAGAGGGAGGCTGTAGTCCTTCTTCATTCCTGCAGTAAAACCTGGAGCTGTTTGAGAAGGAATATTCTGCAATGTAATTCGGTCCAAGGCCTTCACAATATCATTGTTTAAGCCATGGACTGATGAAATAGTTCTATTTTGATCACCTAGCTGTTGCTGTAATGTTCTGTCATTATCTTTAATATCTTCTTTTGCCAGATCCATAAAGCTAGGTTTCTTATCACCTTCATCTCCCAGGGGAGACACATTCTCCTTCATTACCACTCCTTTTCTGAAATTGCCTGAATTCCCAGCTGCTTCCTCTCCTGCTGTAGGCACAACAATTGGACCACGTCCTTTTCCCTCAAATACTAAAGGCTTTGGTTCTTTGGAGATTAAGTCATAGTCCTTTGAAAATAAAAAATATGTTTAATCTTTTATCTCAAATATTAAAATGTATTAACAAAACTAAGGCCATATTCATTTTATATGCTGCTTCAGAAGCCTAAAATTCTAAAGATGGATATATTTTAATCTTGCTAACAAAAGACACAATACAGGGGAGGGCAAAAGTAAGTTTACAGTTGTTCGTATGGGAAATAATACAATAATTTATAATAATACAATAAACTCTGTTTCACATAATCACAACTGTAAATCTATTTTTGCCCCGCCTGTATTTAACTACAACAAAATTCATTACACTTATTTTACTTTTTCTATTACAAAAACAATGCCTATATATAACAAAAACGAGAAATTTAGAAAAGTAAAAACACATTAAAATTGCTTAAAGAAAACACAAATTGTTATTCTCTAACCCAACTAATATTTACAAGCAATGTTTCAGGAACTTAAGACCCATCTTTTGAAAAACAGAAAACAACTCTTCTTTTTTTGCAGCTTACATTCTTCTAAGAACAAAGGAGAGAGGACTGTCACTACAAGTAATAAACATGGTATAAATATATTTCATGGACTATTAGATAAATAAAGTGTTAAAAGCAAAAAAGAGGGGGATCGGGTGGCAGCATTGGGTGGAGGGGAGCAAAGTGGGGGGGAATAGGGACATCTGCAATAGTATCAACAATAAAAATTAACAAAAAATAAACAGGTACCAGGGAAATAACAAAAATTAATTTAACTACATTAATATTTTTAAAACCTTTTACTACTAAGTCTTAGAAATGAAGACAGTATCTTCATAATGATAAAAAGTTCAAAAGGAAATCAATTTACATTTATATATACTAAATAATAAGCCTCAAAACATTAAAAAAAAAAAAACACCTGATAGACCTGCTAAAAAGATACACATTCACAATCACAGAAATTTCTAAAATACTTTGCACAGTAATTGATAGCATAGAAATAAAACTCCATGAAACAAAATAAGTTCTCAACACGTTAACAGTCTTTTCTTAATAGGCATATATCCACAGAACTCTTTCAAGGACACAAGAAATCATAACAAAAATTGACCATATTTAAAACCATAAAATAAGCCTCAAAAATGTGCAAGGATTATAAGAATAAAGAATTATGTCCTCTTATCCTACAACAATATGCTAGAAAATAAAAAATTAAAATTAAAAAGCCAGCTTTAACATTACCAATGAATCAAAGGAAAATAATAATGAAAATAAAGTTAAACAAAAATTATAAAAATGCTGAAAATCAATACTTATATGATATAGCTAAAGCAGTAATTAGAATAAAATTTATCACCTAAAAATGTAAATATTAGAAAAGAAAGGCTGGAAAGAACTAGATACTATCTTAACATGATAATATACACAAAAATAAAATTTAAAAAAGAACAAAAATTGAAAAAAATCAAGACATGGCAGTGTAAGTATATTATATTACTTAGAAATATGGGGATTGACTTCAAAAAACATGCTATAAGTGACTGTAGGAATGTCAGGTGGGAAGGACACAATAATTTTCCTCATTACACTACACAAAACTATTTGGCTCTTAAAACTCTGCCCATGTGTTACTTTAATTTAAAACCACCCCAACCAGTTTGATTCAGTGGATAGAGCATCAGCCAGTGGACTGAAGGATCTTGGGTTCAATTCCCATCAAGGGCACGGACCTCCCCTACAGGCTCTATCTTTACTTGGGGCACATGCAGGAGGCAAGCAATCTATGTTTCTCTCTGTGTGTCTCTCCCCTCCCCTTCCACTCTCTCTAAAAGTCAATGAAAAAAATATCTTCAGGTAAGGATTAACAAAAAAAATTTTAAATAAAAATCTAAAACCAAATTAAAAAGAAATAAAAATAAAACAGAACAAAAGTCCATATGGTAAATATCATCATGCTACCACAGATGTATGAAAAAGAGCTGTGAAAATGCAGAATTTTGACAGCTCCCATATCCTGCCATCAAGAAACAAAAGCAAATAAAACTACAATTGTTATTATTAATAAACAATCATGGCCTTTACAGCATGGTAAGTTCCCCTCAAAAGTCTGTTTTTTTTTAATTACTTTACTTTATTAATTACTTTAATAATTCCATATGTTGACTTCAAATGCATTCATTTTGCCTCCCACTGGCAATGAATAAGAGGCTTAACATATCTGGACACAAACTGGGTGGTGTTTAGGACTAAAACAATAACATCAAGTAATTTTCAACTTCACTAGTTGATGTTGAAAATGACATACAAATCAAAGTGGAAAACATCATATTAATTCTATTTATGTTTCCTATCCCATGATCTGCCAGTATTTGATATGATGATGGCTGAAAAAAATTCTTTCAACAACTTCCTATCTAGAACCAACCAATATAGTTCTTTCTAATATATATATTAGAAAGGAAAGAAAATGGAGGGCAAGGGAGAGAGAGAAATATTGATTGGCTGTATTGAATTGGCAACCTGGGGAATGTGTCCTGACCAAGAATCAAACAGGTGACCTTTTGGTGCACAGGATGATGCCTAACCAACTGAGCCACACCGGCCAGGGCTCCAACCAATATTTTTAATACTCAAAAATATATCATTTAAATACCACTGCCAATATGTAGTTCCAACGCATACTTCAAAAAACAGAGACTAAAATATTTGAACAGCACATTCTTCTACCTAAAATTGAGATAGTCAAGTGTCATTTGAAATGATATTCCAATTATGGACATAAAAGATACTGCACTATTTCCTGTAGAATCCTTATCTACATAATAAAGAAGAAATATGCTTAGTTGACTATCACTCCATCACAAAGATGGCTACACCCACGGCTGAAGCCAAGTTCCCATAAGGAGCCTTAACGAGCAATCAGCAGGGACCCCCGCCCCCATGGAGCTTGACAGGGGACCTCAAGGTACACCCCCAGTGCTGGGTCAGGAGAACTCAAGCCATGCCCCCCACCAGGTGGGGCTTGACAGGGTACTTCAGGTCACGCCCTCCACCCCAGCACCAGGCCGGAGGACCTGAGGCTATGCCCCCTACCTGGCTAGGCTTGATAGGGGACCTCAGGCTGTGCCCCTCCACCCCAGCAGGGCTTGACAGGGGACCTCAAGGCACACACCCTCCCCGCCCTGATCTGGGTTGAGGAACCTCAGGTCACACACCCCACCCTAGCAGTGGGCCAGGGGGACCTGAGGCTGTGTTCCCCCAGCCTGGTGGGTTTGACAGGGGAACTCAGGCCAAGTATCCCATCTGGCAGGGCTTGACGGAGGACCTCAAGGTACATCCCCAGCCCCAGTCTGGGCTGGGGGACATCAGGCCATGCCCCCTGTCCTGGCACCAGGCCAGGAGACCTGAGGCTATGCCCTCTGCCCAGCATGGCTTGACAGGGCTGGGACTGGCCAGGACTGGAACTAGCCCAATGTGTGGGGACAGGGGTGCGCCAGCCAGGTCTTATGGGTGGGTGGGGACTTGACTCTAGGTCCCGTGTTGAGTCCCATACTCTTACAGGAGCAAGGTTTTTCATATACATTTTACTAATTTTCTTTCATCTCTGACTCTTCTATTATAGAGAAAAGGCAAATAACAATATTAAATTATTTCCTCTAATTAATACCCTTTTAATGTGCATGAATTTCATGCACTGGGTCACTAGTATGCTATAGAAATATAACTAGCTCCTCTACATAAAACTTTCTGGAAAATAGAGGATATGTTAATAATTATGTATGATCAGAAGTATTTGAAGTAGTTTCTTTTGATTAAACACAATAAAATGGAATCCTCGCTTGGGAAAAAAGATTTTTCAGAGGTCTCTCACTTAGACAAACCTGTCTTTATCAACTGATCCTGGACACACCAAGTCAGACCAAAAGTAGGAATCTGCTCTTGGAGCTGTCAAACCGAAAGGCAAGTTGGCCACCTATTCATAGGTACTAAGCAAGAAACCATCAACGGTAGCCTATCTATGTGGTGAACGAAAAAACAGACATACAAGAAGACCTCATCACTGTAGCCTACAACAAAAATATTGGCTTGTGAAAGATTGAGACTCAAAATCCTGGCCTTCACATCCATTAACAAATTACTCACCTCTATGCCTATAATTTTTAATCACATTATATAGTTCTTATGTGCACACAAGGAAGAAAATAAATTATTTCTTCACACAATAATCAATTCCTTCCCCCAAATCCCTTTCACATATTTTTCTACTTTGAGTTACCAGTATTCTTACTTCTGTGGCTTTATTTTTAAATGGTTCTTACCTGGTCATAAAAGTATTAACAGAGTAGCCAGAATACTTCCTGTAGGTTTATTGTATGAAAATCAACCTGTATCCTTTCCCAAAAGTCTCTTGTCTCTTTTTAACAAATAACCTCTCTTTCATTCCTGCCCTTTTTTTTAATACCCCTGATTTCAGAGTAACTATCCGTACCTCAAATCTATGGAGGGAACCAAACACTAGGGAAGGGGGAAGGAGAACAATTTGCTGCTCCTTCTACTGCAGCCAAAGCACATAAGTTCTCAGAGAAAAACTTGAATAATCAGAACTGAGAAATGCAAACATTAACTAGCAAGTACTTCCCTTTTATTTGATTTCTACATATGAATGCACATTAAAATCTTTTTTTTTAAGCAACTGGAAATTAAGTGTATGGGATGTAGGGGCATAGAGGTTTGGAGCAAGAGTTAAATAAGTCTGAGATTATCTGATTCAAACCCTTTATTTCACAGTTTAAGATCCTAGGCAATTTCAGACTTACTCAAGGACCCACCACAAGTGAGCAGCACAGTGAGAACAAGAAACTAGATCTCCTAATTGCCATCATTCAGTCAGCTTTACTTGCTGTGTAATCCAGGCTGAGTAACTATATTCCAGTAAATAACTGAGTTTAAGAAACATTAACAAGTCATTCTCCCTACGAACCAACTTTGATTTTAAAAACTTCCGGTTGCTTTCCTCTCTCTTGAACATTCCACAATTATACAATGACTTTCAGGAAAAGAAATTCAGCATGCATAGACTACACATATTTTAAATTCAGCAGCTTCTTAGCTCACATCTCCCTTTAGTTAATCAAAACTGATACAAAGAAGACTTTAAAATAAGATTTTTGAAATACCACTTTAAAGAACATTTTTAAAGAGTAAAAAAGAACTATGTCAATTAAAATGATTAACCAAAGCAATGAAAAAATTAAAAATCTAATCCAACAGTTAAATAAGCTAGTTCCCTCATTTTATAGATAAGCAATTTATACCCAGAATGTTAAAGTAACTGACCAATGTCACTCAGTAATGCAATGCTACTTTCATATCTTAGAAATTAAGATAGTGATTATACTAGTATATCTAAGGGAGGGGGAAAAAACTATTTTATAAAAATCAGTTGAGATGCTGAGTTTTCCATATTTATACCTGAAAATCATCAACAAGCTCAGGGAAAAGGTGTTCATACATTTTAAGGTCTTCTATCGTTCGTCCTGGCTCTTGCTGGGGTTTTAGTTTGTTAATATCTGTTTCAATATCATCATTCTGAAATAATAAAAATGGCATGTCATCAGTTAAGAAAAACCTAAAATTACAGAATACATTACAGATTTAAAGTTTTCCAAATTAATAATTACATATAATTAGAGAATAATTGCTGAACAAAGGGTGTGTTAATTTTACCGTAAATTAAAATTTGTTTGTATTTCTGAGTTGTTGCCGTGTTACTGTTTTGGTTGTTTTGTTTTTACCTAAGGTTATTCTAATATAATATGGTATTTGAAGACAGAAAAACTAGTGTCAAGATCAAGACTCAAGTATGTTCCCCTAATCTCCCTAACTGCCATCATTTTGTTCATATTAAAGAGTAGAAGAGCTAAATTGAAAAACATTAAAAATATGATTGTGTTAGTAGTAATCAAACTAACATTTATTGAGCATTGAAAATATGTGAAACACTAGTCAAGGATTTTACATATATCATCTAATGTAATCTTCATAAGAGCACTCTGAAGGAATAGTATTATTACTTCCATTTAACTGAGAAGGAAATGGGTACAGAGAGGTTATAGCTTGCTCAAAATGACACAGCTTGCCCATAGAGAACTCAGTGACTCCGAGTGGGCACAATGCACTGCCTCAGGAGACTCATGATTATCATGCACTCTATGTTCCATGGTCAGCAAAGTGCCCTCAGAAAAGCTCAGTGTCACCATTCGCTCTGTTTTTTTCAGGGAAAAGAAAAAGAGTGGAAAACAGCCAGAAGTGATTTCCGTGACCCTTTGGGAAAGAAGAGGATATGGTTAAAGGAGAAGTATGACCTCAGAGAAACAGGGCATGTATCCAGGAGCAGTGTGGTTGGTCTGTATCTGTTCAAAGAGCTAATTAATGTACAGCATCATGGGAAGACAAGTGCCAGTTTACCTACTATCTAGGCTAGTCTCTAGGGCCCTCAACAACTCTGGTCTCACACAAATGCAAGCTCATTACTATCTTCATTGGTGGCTAGAGAGAGGTAACTGAATATCAACTTTCAATTGGTATTTGTCTTTAATTGTGCACTTAATTTACTACTGCAGAGTTCACTGCTTATTTTTCTGCCTTAGGCTACTATGCTTCCATCTTTAAAATGCTTTATGTACACATATCAGATTATATACATTTCCTATCAATAACCAATTTAAAAGAAAAAACATACTATGTATTTCTCATATTTCTTATTCAGGAATTTAGCTATAACCTGTATAACCAATAAAAAGATTTTTTTCCATTGTCATAAGTACTGGTTTTACTTAAAGAGTATCATTTTAATTATTGTATCAATATTACTTGAATATGTAATTTCATATATCTTAAATTATGCATTGATAAACAAAAATATATAATTTTCTTGATTAGTATCTAATAAAGTAGACAATGCTTTCAAAATAAAAAAAATTTACAGAGGCATTGCTTTCTCTATTTACTAGATCAATATTGAGTATTATTTTGTGAAAATGTAACCTTACAATAGTAGCTCTGTACTAAAAAATAAACTTACCTGTAAATAGTATTAAATCTTCCAATCCATAAACATGTTATATCTACCCATTTCTTCAAATCATCTATGATTTCTTCAACCAGTATTTTGTGATTAAGATATAAACTTTTGTATACATTGTGTAAGATATTTACCCACGTAATTAATGATTTGATGCTATTGTAAATGGTACTTTAATGTTTTTTCATTTCCTACATCTTCACTGATACACATATAAATATAATTTTAATATATTAATATTTTCTATTAACATAGAGAATAAAAACTTTTTATATTAAAAAGAATTTACCTGTAAAACAGGCATAGTGAAGAAAGAATGCATTAACCCTTTTCAGACCAATGCATTCAAAGCAACTTTATTTTCTCTTTCATAGTCAGCCATGATAAAAAGATGTGGACAGAACAGAATAATCTACCATTAACTATGACCATTTATCCAATCTAATTTTACAACTGTGTATACAATTATTAAGTAGACTGAAGACAGACATTTATACTAACCTTAAAATTTTGATCTATGTCATCTTCATTTTCAGTTTCATTTTCAGCCTCTAAATCAATATCATCGTTGTCATCACTTTCATCTACTACGTCATCCACTGTGATACAAAATGTGCTATAAGTAAGTAGGTCAGAGGTAAGCATTCTACAACATGTACATCCAAAGGTAAAAAGTTATATTTATGCATATATATACTGTTTTAAGTATTTCAATTACCAAAGAAAAGTTAAATTAAATTTCTTATTAAAAATATCTCTAAGGCTATCCCAGGTGTTGAAAATCTATGAGATAAGGTGAAAGTGCTTTAATATTTGAAAAAGCACTATAAAAATTAATAAGCTTTTTCACTAATGTTTGTTTTTAAAAATTAATGTCTTTAAAAAGTACCACCTGCATCTGATTCTTTACCAAAATAAAAATAAAAAAATTATTTTAAATTGCAACAGCCTGAATAAAGCATCTTGTTTCCTATTTTTGATGAATTTCAATAACTCATTTCATCCCTTTTACAATTCACTTCCCATTTATTTATTTCAGTGACTACCATGTACTGTGCTGTGTTTAGGAAATGTTTTTAAAGATATGGAGCTCAGGAGGTTAAAAAGAAGAAAAGAGTAAACAAGTAGAACCTGACTATCTTTAGGCATTTAATATCCAAGAAAATAAGTATTTTTTTAAATATATTTTTATTGATTTTTTTTTTTTTACAGAGAGGAAGGGAGATAGAGAGCTAGAAACATCGATGAGAGAGAAACATCGACCAGCTGCCTCTTGCACACCCCCTACTGGGCATGTGCCTGCAAACACTCTACCACTGAGCCAAACCGGTTTCAGCCAAGAAAATAAGTATTGAGGCTAACTCCATTCATCAACCAATGTTAAATGCACACTTATGTCTCAGCAATCTAATGGATGCTTAGGATAAAATGAAGGAAAAATGTAACAGTCGATCTTCACAAAACTAGCTGAGGAAGGTAAAAAAAATAATGAAAAGTTTGATAAATGTTATGAAGCCTGATATGTGAGAAAATCACAGAAAACAGAAAGATGGTATTTTTCCTTCTACCTGTGCAGTTGCTAATAGGACCTTCCCCTTACATCTTAATCATGAAGGCTTGGTAGTTAATGTAAATCTCCATTTCTAAGTCCCTGATCCATCAGCCTGAGAAGAATCAGAAAAAGGCCCTCAAAAAATGTCATCTGTCTGTCATTTTTTGCACTAGAAGTCAGCTTTCCCTGTACATGTGATTATTCTTGACACAGTGCTAAGGACAGTAAGAGGTATATCCTATCTCCCACTCAGTGTTACTACCTGTCATATCACAGACAAGTCTCACCAGCTATCTATCTATCTGCCAGTTTGAATCAGCACTTAAACTCCATAATCCTACATTGAGATACACAAGAGAAAGGGATTCCAATTGCTTTTTTAAAAATATATTTTTATTGATTTCAGAGAGGAAGGGAGAGGGAGAAATAGAAATATCAATGATGAGAATCACTGATCGGCTGCCTCCTGCACACCCCCCACTGGGGGGATCCAGCCGCAACCTAGGCATGTGCCCTTGACCAGAAAAGAACCGGGACCTTTCAGTCAGCTAGGCCAACGCTCTATCCACTCAGCCAAACCAGCGAGAGCCCAACTACTTTTTTATTGTCCTCCAAATCAGGCGATAATTGAACCTCAATTCTGGAGTCAGAGACTCTGCATTTCATACTAGGGTGAGTGAAAGGATGACACTCTTCTTAATCTATTTATATTTCTGCCATGATTTTTTGTATGTTCTATGTTTATTCCATGAGAATTAGCTTTTAGATTAAGCACATATTTTCCCATATTTTTAAAAGTCTATTGGTAATTTTAAATGGAATGGGAAGAAAAATCTTAAAAAATGCTTTTATTTAGCTACCTTACTCCAGTTCCCAGACTTGATTTTAGACTTGTAAACTTTTAAAGGAAGTTTCTGAATAATCAATTTTAATATTTTGTGCCATTAAACTTTGTACTTTTTGTGGAGTAAACTTGTACTTCAATAATTAAATATTCTAAAATAAAATCATAAAAGTGTACTCTGTGATAAATACCACTAATAAATCTGTGTCAAGACTAAAACTAATTATAATTACTTAATTCTCTTAAACCACTGATTTCAAATAATGCTTTTAAATATTAAAAAGTACCCTTAAAATAATTTTTTTTTTACCTAAAAGAAATGATCAAGTGACAAGAAAATACCTCAGAAATTCTATTAGTAGTCTAGACAACTTTCTCTTCTCCATTTTTTCTAGAATGTAGCAAAAAAATTCTACTTTTCCCCCAGATTAAAAATTTTAAACTCTTACTTTCTTTACTATGTACCCACAATATTGTATGGAAAATGGAAGATAGTCAACTTTTGATAATTTTATGATTATAAAACATTTTTGATGGCTAGGCTTTTTGGGGGGGAGAGAGAGAGTTTGCCAATTAGGTATTTTTAATTTTAAAAAATGAAGTTCATGAAAAAGCTACAAAAGTAAGTCCAATATAATTACTTAGACATTTAGACATTTAATGTTTACATTCTTATACTTTTGAATTTTATATGCACTACCAAGTGATGGTCCCATATGATGCTTATGTTTTTTCACAGCACACATTTATATTCTTGTAAACAATCCCACTTCCCTTCATTACTAAACCACAATTTCTTATATTTAAAGAAATATTTATTAACTAAAATACAATGTGAAAATTTACTGTGTTCATTAAGACTTTCTTTTGCTGGGGAGTTGGACACAAGTTAAAATAAAATTTTAAAAAAGTCGACAGAGTCACACAATCCCCAGAACCACTGAAGGCCAGCCGTGAGCATGTGGTCCTACCTTCAGGAGGTAAACTATAGAGCTGAGCCACAGGTCCACTCATAGGAATAACTGGCAATTGGAAATTGAAAGAACTTTTAATTGTTGGCAGTGGCAGGCGGTTTTTAGGAAAACACTTCCTCATTATCAGACTGGAGATGTTGACAAGAGGATCAAGGGTCCTGACTGCCAAACATTCCTGTTTTTTAAGAAAAAAAAGAAAAAGAATGTGCCTTTGATGACTAACTGAATCAATTTCATATTACTTCAGAAAGACATTAATAACTTTCAAGAGCGAATATCACAAGAAAACAATATTTTAACATAATGTAATTATAAAATAGCTTTGACTCATAAATAAGAACCTCATGTGGCAAATTTAGTAGTACTTTACCTTAAAATTTTAACTATGTGGAAATCAGTGCCAACTTTGGTACTAAAAGTCACCAAAATACTAACTAATATTTTTTATGGTCTTAGGCAACATTTAGCTACCTTAGCACACAATTTTTTTAATTAAGCAAAAAATATAGTAAGAAATAAAAAGGAACATGAACTTGGCTGAACCATTCTCAGAATTTTATCAGTTATCATGCAATAGCACCTCAAATACGTTAGCTGTTCAACTATTTTTTTATAGTCTGAATATCACAGTTTTAAAAGTTTAATCTGCTGTCCTAGTATCTAATCTTAAGAAGGGCTAAATATAGGAGATTTGAAACTATATTATATAGCATCATCATTATTATTGACATTTAGATGGCACTTTGATATCCTGTAAAATTTTCAAACAAATCTTCTCATCAGACCTGTCAAAACAGATGAGAAATTAAGGCTCAGCAATGTTAAGTGGCATAACCAAAGTCATCCAACTCTTCCTCATACTAGTATATCAATATCCATCATTGCCTATATTAGAAGTAATAAAAACAAGTGTATGTGATTGACAAAGAAAAAAAATGCTAAGAGTAAACATAAAATGTATGTTCTTATATCTTAACCATCTCAGGTAGAAAGAGATTGTCAGTTGTATATAAGGCCAAAGAGCACAGGAATTTTCAAAACAACCGTTTTCTTTCTAATAACCACAGACTTCTAAAAACAAAGGACTGTGCTGAAACATCCCTGTTTCCCATAGCTGACAGTCTTCTACAGATGCTAGAACAAATCGTATTAAAGATATTGTCAAGAAGGTTGAGTATAATAGCTGGCAGAACTAGGGACACTAACTCCAGGTTTCACTTTTGTACCCTCTCCATTTAAAAATGCACTATCCAGAGGAAGACACTGAGAACACTCACAAACAACAGAACTGCATTACCAGTTGTAAAGAACCCTTAAATACCGTATAAGGGAAACATGCAAAACTGAGCATAGCCAACTGCACATCTTAGAAAGCATGGCTAAATGGAATCCCTTAGAAAATATCGCTATTTGGATGGATTTATGTATCTTGCTTTTACCTGAGGGGATAAAAATCTCACACTGCAAATATATGCACTAAGCACTTTCTCCAACCTAGTCTGTGGTCACATGTAAGAAATTATTATGCCTTTGTTTTCTAATTTTTTTTAAATATATGTATCTTACTTTTGGGATATTTTTAGAAATACTAAGTTTTCTTAAGAACCAAATCATGCCGAAACCGGTTTGGCTCAGTGGTAGAGCTTAGGCCTGCGGACTGAAAGGTCCCGGGTTCGATTCCGGTCAAGGGCATGTACCTTGGTTGCAGGCACATCCCCGGTGGGGGGTGTGCAAGAGACAGCTGGTCGATGTTTCTCTCTCATTAACGTTTCTAGCTCTCTCTCTCTCCCTTCCTCTCCGTAAAAAATCAATAAAATATATTTTTTTTAAAAAGAACCAAATCATATTATTAACACATAATCACAATAATAGGAAAAAACTTACTTGTGAAGTGGTATAGAGAATTTTCATCCCATTGGCATCAATAAATGCTTTTCTTCCCAACTTGATATTTGTAACACTTTTTAAACTCTGTAAAATTCCTTTCCGAATGAGCATGTTTCTATGCCGATTGTCATGGCGATGCCAATCTACATAAATTGTTAAAAGGACTTGGACACATCCTCTGTCTACAGCTCTCCTGGCATTTGTTTCTTTAACAAAATAAAATTGAGAAGAATATTTTTTAAATGACCAGGGAAAATAGTAGAAACCAAATTTTAAAAATATAACCCCACTATTATAAGGAATTGTTAAAATTTTCATCAAAAAAATGGCAACCACATATGTAAACGTTTTTATCTAACAAAATAAATATAACTTCCAGATAGTAAATTATGCTATTTTCCAGAAACCAGCCCATATATTATTTTGTGGTTATAAATAATAGGTATGTATTTAATACAATTAGGACTGCAGCTTTTTAAATGTTAATACTAATAAGTTTCACGTATTTTAAAAATTTAGGATTATACTGACTTTGATTACAATAAATGGACTATTCAAGCCTTTAACTTACTAGCTGTGAATGTGGTTTTGTTAAAAGCCATTACCATGGTTGAAACTTCTATTACAAACTTTGTGTACTTCCACTAAAACTAACTACATTGGACTGTAGCTGTTATTACAAACTTTGTGTTTCCATTGAAATTAGTTGCTTTAATTACCAATTATATAAATACTAATGCTAAGTTAAAAATACTTGTAAAACTTTTTAGTAAATAAGTATAAGAAGCATTATGTAACTAGAAGATAGGACTTTCTAATCATTAATTTTTCTTGTAATTAAAAAACATTAAAGGACTTTTTTTATTAAATGGTCAAATTTATTGGGATAGATTAATTCTTAAAAATCCATAAATCTGACCTATTCTATTATTTTTAAAGTGTTAATATTTAAGATAATTAACCAAATGGGTGCATTTTACTAAGATGGCAGCAAAGGAAACCTATCACAGCAACATCTTGAACCACCCAGCATCACTGGGTGGGCCTATTATAAGAGCACAAAATAAAGTGGAATACCAACCCATCTTAGGTTGTACAAAGAAATAGAAATCCCACCTGGCCAGTCTTGGTTAAACTTTGACCTATGAACCTGGAAGGTTCAATTCCAGTTAGGGCACATGCCTGGGTTGCAGGCTCGATCCCCAGTTAGAGATGTGTAGGAGGCAACTTTTCAATGATTTTCTCTTATCATTGATATTTCTATCTCTCTCTCCCTCTCCCTTCCTCTCTGAAATCAATAAAAATATATTTTTAAAAAATACTAATCCCTTCCTAATCTAAATTTACCTATAAAATGACCCCCTGCCTCGTGACATGGACATAAAGATAACACAACAGTGAAGCTTCATTGCTTTTAGTTGCCTCAGAGAATTACTAGTGCTGATATATAGCTGAAACATAAGGTTTAAGACAGTGAAAGGAACCTTACTGATGCCTCTCAGAAATTATGCTACTACGTGAGGGAACTGAAAGAAACTCCCAGGGTGGGAAGAGATGGGGATTCTTATATAAAGCTTTAAACCTCTATTGTGAATAGAAGAGCTAGTTTTGCTAAAATTGTGGCTATGTGCAATATCAGGTAATAGTTTTGACTAGCAACAAGTAGTTTCATGTATTTTGAATTCATATGCTCACTGTGGTTATACTAGTTGGCATATATAATAGTAAGCCTTTAACGTTCTTAAAAAGACATTATCGTCATTGTAACTCCTGTTCCAAACTATGTCTCCACTGCAATTCTCAATAGCCTAAATGGTATTTATGATGAAAACTGAAACTCTTTATTAACATTCAAATAAAACAAACTTGCCCATAACTCAAACACAGGTACTGAGTGACCCTAAAGAAAAGGGTACAGAGTAACCTGCAACTGAGCACAATTAAAACAGTTTAGTAAAGGGGGTTTAATTCATGTGTTCAGGACACCAAACATGATCAGTCTATGTCTCTTCTTCTCTCTTGAATTAAAATACACTTAGGCTTCCCTGTACACTGCAGCATCTAATCTATACCACAGCGATGATAACTAAGCTGCCTGTCTTTCTGTGCTAGATATACATTCTTTGCTTTATACTCTCTCAGGTTTATTACAATAATATAATTACCCTTTTAAAGTAAATTACTGTCCCCCAAAAAAAGAAGTCAATGACTGAGAATGCTCCAAAATGCTATAGTATATTTAAAAATATGCCTCTAGTATATGATACTATCATGTAAGGTGATTTTTTTAAATTTAATAAATCATTACTTTGCCAAATAGCAGATTTACCAATTAATTATTTGCTACTATTCAAATAAAAGTTCTGATCATTAAAATTTAAGAAAAAATTGGTATACCCCTTGATAGACAGACAGTTTTTTGGGGGAGGGAATAACATTAAAAGCCATCATTACAACTCTTTGGGACTAAAATGTTTTATGGTTAAGTAAATGTTAATCAACCAATAGAAATATGGGTGCTAATGAAAATTATTATTTAAAATGGAGATACTGAGTATCTTAGTGAGAAGAAATATATCATAATCACTCTTTACAGGCATATTACAAGACACATTTACTCCAATGCCTCAGCTTTGAAGATAGAGACATAGTTTGTCAATTAATTTAGTAAACTGTAAATTTACATCAATAGCCATCTGGATTCATGATAGAAATAAAAGGGCTCTAAATTGAAATTATGTGTGCTATAGAGTAATTATTCAAGACAGTCTTTACAGTAAACATATTCAATACCATTTTAACTTTAATTTTTTAAGTGATACATACATAATATTTACATATTACTTTCTTATACTAACAGAGCTTTATATTTATAGTTATCACTTTGAAAAAGGAAGTCAATGTATTTTAATAAATTATAGCTTAATAAACATAAATGACATTAGTTATGGCTCATCCAACAACAGTACCAAAAGGTAAAATCAGCTTTGACATTAAGTTATTATAAACCAGTTTCATAACTATAGACTAACTCTACATTTCCAGTTTAACACTGTAGATAAAATACTCAGAAAAATAGCATCTAGTAGTTCTAATATTAAAAACTTACTTGATTTTAGCAATGCAGCAAGAGTGTCTAAAGCAACCCTGTCGACATGAGAAAACACAAACAACAACAAAACTAGTAAAATTAATCTACAACAGTAAATTCACACAATTTTTTCAGATAAATAATTATTATCTATTCCAAAAGCCATTCCTATTACAGTCAATTACATACAGTGTTTCTCTGTATGTATTTCTCCCTTAAGGTTAAAAATGAATACAGGAAGATTGAAATATCAACAGAAAAAGCACCCAAAAAAATTTTTTAAGAAATAAAAGAAGAACATTAACAATATCTAAGTCTTTACATTAGAGGTTAGATGAATTAAACCAGTTATTGTACCTGTATCTGACCCTAGCAAAGTTCACACGAAATATAAGATTGACAAAGAAATTAAAAACAAGTTTCACACAAATAAAGTTCATAACTATTAATTCTATAGATATTTGTAGCTATCTGACTATAAAGTATTTTAGCCCTATCAAGCAATAATCCTAATAAATTATAAATGGTAACAATAAATACAAAATCCTGGAACTAGAAGGATGAGGAAGAAGAAGGGGAGGGCCCCTTAACATTTTTCAGTCCTAAGGCACCAATGAGAATAATGAACCTGATATCTCAAAAACTCTTACTGCCCATCAGAGAATGAAAAAATAGCCCCCAAAACTGAAGGTACTTACATTTTCTTTGCACATAAACACTCACTTACCCACAGTGAAATCAACTTTAAAATACATATAAATATTACTATTAAAACCTATTATAATTCAAACAGGTATGTTTTTTTTTAAGGAAGAGTTACTGAAGAAATGGTATTTCATACCAGTAGTTTAAGAATATATGGCTAACATGTTATAGTTCCTCTTAGTAAGATTTCAACAGTTATATTTGCATAAAAATCTGTACATTTTTAAACTCACATATTTCACTCATCATTAAGCATTTGTTGAATGCCTACTAGATACCCACAAAAGCAGGTTTTTCAAGGGTATAAAATTATAAAACAAATGTATGTCTTCCACAGATAATTTTACAATCTAGCGAATGCAGTAAAATGTACTCATCTGTGCAAAAACTACTCAAGAAGTTAAAACCAAAAACAAAGCTGCATATATTAGTGGTAAAGGAGACACAGCATGACCAGATGTAAGAAAAGAATCTAATTAATTACAAAACTGAAGATGGATACTGGTTCACAAGAGAGCCTGACACAATAACCCCAAGGCCACAAATGAGAGAACCCATGTGATGATGGAGGCAGAGTTTGAAATGTTGCAGCTCTAAGCTAAGGAGCACCAACCACTGCCAGCAATCCACCATAATCTGGGAAGAAACAAGGAAGGATTATCCCATAAAGGATTTAGAGGGACCACTGGCTCTGCTGACAAGTTGCTGTTGGGCTTCCATCTCCAGAATTGCGAGACAATAAATTTCTGTTATTTTAAGGCACCAAATTTGTACCGGGTACTTGGTCACAACAGCCCTCGGAAACTAATACAATCACTTAGATGCAATCACTTTGCAATGAACTTATAGGACTTTCCCACCTACATTAAGTCTTTATTCAAACTATAAAAATCATAGAGTACTTTAAAAATAGCTTTTCTCCCTGCTGGCAGCTGTTTGTAACACATTTGAACCAAATCAAAGTGCTTCTGACAGTTTATAATCCTTGACATTTATTCTTCAAGACTGACACAAGTGGAACATGAGCCCCATTCTTTCTGACTCCATGCTTGTTCCACAGTTCCACTAGATTAAAAAATTATGAAGTTTGGTGCAAAGTTGTCTCAATAATTTACCAACATGTTATTTTAACGGTATTTTTTTAAACTTCAGTATAAAGGAATTTCTAAAATTTTACAGCAACACTTATAAGCCAGTAGGAATCTGTAACATAAAAATTACAAAATAGCCGAAACCGATTTGGCTCAGTGGTAGAGCGTCTGTCTGCGGACTGAAAGGTCCCGGGTTCGATTCCGGTCAGGGGCATGTACCTTGGTTGCGGGCACATCCCCGGTAGGGGGTTACAAGAGGCAGCTGGTTGATGTTACTCTCTCATCAATGTTTCTAGCTCTCTCTCTTCCTTCCTCTCCGTAAAAAATCAATAAAATATGTATTTTTAAAAATTACAAAATAATTTTAGAATAGATTTTTTGAAGTGTGTAGTTTATATTACGTTAATTGAATTAGAACTCCACAGTACCAATATTTTATTCTTCCTCACGTGTTTTCCCAATCTTCATATGTCACACACAATAATACAATCAGCAATGGCTTAGACAGCAGCCTGTGGCTTATCTATTTAGGAGCAGTAAAGGAAGAAAAACTTAACTCCAGGTATTCATGAAGTTACATTAAGATGGGGATCAATCTTTGCAATAATCCCCAAACCTGTTGTAACTTGAAAAAACAGAGTTACAGTAACTTCTGGAGTTGCTTCCTTCTGGATTAACAGTACTTAAATCCAAAACCTAAAGTTGGAAGAAAAGTAAATCCTAAAGGGAAGCAAGACCTTTCAAACTAAATAATACCCTTCAATCTTCTTCCATGAAATTCAGGGCATTGTTTCAGGAGAAGAAAAACTATGATACAAATGCTACATACTGAGATATCTTAATTAAGGAAGAAGGCCCTATGGTGAATAAAGACATCAAGATATACATGTTTGGTCAATGAGTGATTTTTCTTTTTAAAGTAAAAGTAAAGCTTAAGATTTTGTTTTTCTTTTTAAATATATATAGAAAAGAATTAAGGGGTAATTTATGTAACAACTAGGGACCTGCTGCAGGAATATTCCTGCAAGACTTCTGGCAGGCTTCCCTCTGACCACCTCCACCTCTCCCACCCACCACCTCTCCTGCTGCAGAGATGGTGGTGGTGGTGGTGGTGGTGGTGGTGGTGGTGGTGGTGGTGGCAGTAGCCTCGGGGCCGACCCCGCCCTCATGCCCCACCGTGCCCACAGCCACCGCCACCACCATCTCCGAGGTCAGGAGTGCTGCTGCCACCACTGCGCGCCTCGCCCCGCACACCCACCGCATCTGCCACCACCACCTCCGCTGCACAGCCTGAACCGCCCACCCTACCTGCTGCGCCCACTGTGCCCACCACTCCCGGCGCCGTCAGTGCTTTCCCTCCAGCAGCCATAGCTGCCTTGCTTTCCACTTTCCCTCCCTCTTCCTTCTATGCTGTCTTCAGTCTTCACTCCTCCATCCCTCCACATATGCAAATTAACCACTATCTTTGTTGGGTTAATTTGCATCCTCACTCTGATTGGTTGGTGGGTGTGGCTGGTGGGCGTGGCTGGTGGGTGTAGTAGAGTGATGTTAATTTGCATAGTACTCTATTATTAGGTAGGATACTCCTTTCTCAGGAAAGACTCACTGGTTTCTACATGGTTTTGGATATACTCCATGTTGTATATCACAAAGATTTAAATATATGGACATTTTATATTAGAGTTGGTAACTTGGTTACAATAGAATAATGTAGACTGTAAGTAGGAGATCAGAACCAGTAGACAAAAGATAAATAATAGAATACTTTAAATATCAAGGGAGAAAACTGTATATAAATTTAAAAATAAAGAATGTACTTTTAGTATTCACATGCACATTACCACATTTCCTATCTAAATTAATTACATTGCTTTAATAAAAGCATTATGCTAAATGCAGGAATCATCTCATTAAATTCTCACATCAACCCTATGATGTACATTCTAATATTACCACCTTACAGCCAGTAAACTGGGGCATAATACATTAGGTAACTTACTTTGTATTATGGAGCCAGTAACATGCAAACCTGTTCTGCCTACCTCCAGAGCCTACTTACTACACTACACTACACTAAGTTGGTTTTAGTAATTGTGACACAATAATTTTCTTTGTCTTGTTACATTTCATCAGATGCTCTAAGATTGTATATGACCCTTGCACAAGTTTAAGTTATCCCACCAAATAATATTTAATAAATGATTATATGTGCAAGTAAGTTCCCATTTTCAAAAGAATACAGCTAAAATATTTTACCTTTACTAAGAATGGGTAAGAAGACTGAAAATGGTCTGAAACTTGTTAGTAGAATTTAATCAAATAGTTAACGTGGACAAGTTCTACCTTATAAAAGAATCATAGCTAATAAAAGCAAAAAGAAGAATAAATTAGCAAAATCAATGATCTGGACAATGTCATTAAATATTGCTAAATTACCAGGTGAAAAGTAGATGGATTACATCAACTCAATAATCTTAAGTGATGTGAAATAGAGTGACTACCACCTACGACACATTTTTTTTATTGGAATAAAAAGAACCCAAATCTAGTCAAGCCTCTAGCTCTATCAGTCTACAGAAAATTCAAGGGATATACCTACATGTTTAAATGACCCCAGGATACAGTCATCTTAATCCACAATGCTGGGACATTCTATAAGACAGCACCCAGGTCCTTCAACAAATAACAAAACAGAACCAAAAAAATAGGGGGACTGTTATTGATTTCAAAGGCTTATAAGACATAGTAATCAAATAGAATGTATAGACTTTATTTGAATCCTGATTTGAACAAGCCAACTGAAAAAAAAAAAAGATTTCTTAGATAATCAGAAAATATCAGTGGATATTAAAGAATTATTAATATTGTTGGGCAAAGAAATGATACTGTGATAACACTAAAAGAGCTCCGTGTGTAATAGCAATCACACACAAAAAAATTATGGGACAAATGTAAAGGCTGATATCTATTTTAAAATACTCTGGGGGGCTGAGGGGAGAATAGGGTGGTGAAAGGGAAGGACCAGAAAGAGAAAGATAAATTAAAAATGACAGTGTTGTTTTTTGTTGAAATTGAATGATGGGTAGGCATATCAAGGTTCATTATTCAATTCCTTCTATTTTTGAATAGTTTTGGAAATTTCCTAAATATAATGAGGAATAATGTGTGTATCTTGGTTAGATCCCAATTCAAACAAACCAACTGTAAAAGGGCATCTTGAGACACCTGGAAAACCTAGAACACAGACTGGATTTTAGATTATATTAAGGAGTTAATAATTTTGTTGAGTGTGACTATAGTATAGTGGTCATTTTTAAGTCCCTGTTTAGTAGAGATACACTGAAGTTCTTAAGGGAAAAATTAGAAAATATCTGAGATTTGCTTACAAAAATTCATATGACATTTAAGATTTGCTTTAAAATAACCCAACAAAAATAAAACGTGTAAGAAAATAAATGAAAAAAAAAATGGCAGAGTGCTGACAACTGCACATAATTAATATAACTATTCAAGACAATTAATTAGTTTACTATAATGTAAACTCTATGTATATTTGAAAAATTCCACATAAAATTTTTTTTAAAGAATGACCTTTAATAGGGACTAAGAAAATACGGCTTTTATTTATTTTTATTTTTTTATTGTCTGAGGTTGAAAGACCTATAAATGTGGTGGGTTTTTTTTTTTTTTTAAGAATGACATTATTTTGGCACAAAAAAGTATAAATTAAAAATATGTCCAGGTAATTGTGAGAATGAAAGACATGGTCATTAGAAGATTGAAAAATTGGTAGGAAAGATAGTAGGCACTCAATAAATGTTTCTGAGTGAATGATATTCTATAAACCTTTTTTTCCTTATAGTATCTAAGAATTTTCAAAGTCTAATTTCTATAACACTATATTCAATGAATTTAAAGTTTTCTAATTTTGATATAATTTGAAAATTAAACTTTATAGCAAAGAAAATCTTTATTATAATAAAATCACTATCTACAATTTAACTCTACTGTTCATTATACAGATCAAGATGATGAGATTCAGAATAACAAAGTATATCTCTATTTACACTCAAAACATTTACCTACTTCATAAGACTCAAATTCTTCTTACTAAATGGTCCAATGATTTTAAACATCAGTTCCACAACTCCATTTTTCCCTAAGGATACTGAATTCACAGCTGGGAGGGGAAGAAAAAATTTTAAATTATTTTAAAAACTCAATAAATAGGAATATACATATATATACTTGGTGAAACACAGTCAAAATATATATTAATTATTCAGAATATATAACTTTAAGTTCCCTCTTCCACCTTAACCAATCACTTAAAGGTATATTTTTTTTAGCTTTATTTTTTTTACTTTATTTTACTTTCAGAAATTGCAGGAAATTCTGAAAGAAGTTATAGAAAACAAAATGTTACTTCTAAAAAAATACTTTTAAGTTGCTTCATTTGTTTCTTCAAAAACTCTACTAAATACCACGTCATGGAAAGACAAAAACAAAGAACAGTTTACAGGAGAATGACAGTAACAGTAAACAAATCAATACTAAATTACTTGTTAAATAGATGAAGAGTTATAGGTTATTTAGATCACAACAGTGAGGAGTCCTTAATTCTTAGTGAAACAGAAGGCATTTCTGGAGAAATGGATATCTGGGCTCAGTCTTTTTTTCTTTTTCTTTTTTAATCCTCACAAGAGGATATTTGTCCATTGATTTTGAGAGAGAGTGAGAGAGACAAGGACAGAGAGAAACATGGATGTGAGAAAACATCTATTGGTTGCCTCCTGACCAGAGCCCAGGCCTGGGAGGAGCCTGCAACCAAAGTACGTGCCCTTGACCAGAATCAAACCCAGGACCCTTTGGTCCACAGGCCTACACTCTATCCCTGAGCCAAACCAGCCAGGGCTCTTGGCTCAGTCTTTACAAATGACAAGGAGTTAGTTAGGATAGGAGTTGCAGAAAGGGGCAGAAGTGGATATAGTATCAGGAAAAAAAAAAAAAAAAAAAGCATTCTAATGAGAAGATGAGCTGGGTAAAAAACAAATTATTACCCTAAAAGTTGTTCATTCTTTCAACCATAGGAAAGTATCTCCCCTCCCCCTGCCGGCAAAAAAAAAAATAACACTCATTTTTTGGAAAATAATAGATAAAAAACATTGTGTGCGAATTAGCACCAACAGACAGTAAATTAACAAAGCATACATTTTAATAATGTATGGGAAAAAGCTAGAAGAATGTGCACTAAAATTTTTATAGTGTAAACACGTTTGTTTTAAAATAAGATCTGCGGCCGAAACCGGTTTGGCTCAGTGGTAGAGCATCGGCCTGCGGACTGAAAGGTCCCAGGTTCGATTCAGGTCAAGGGCATGTACATTGGTTGCGGGCACATCCCCGGTAGGGGGTGTGCAAGAGGCAGCTGATCGATGTTTCTCTCTCATCGACGTTTCTAACTCTCTCTCCCTCTCCCTTCTTCTCTGTAAAAAATTAATAAAATATATTTTAAAAAATTAATAAATAAAATAAAATAAGATCTGCGTTTTGAATACAGGTCAGCCTCACAGCACGCTGGGGAAGGCATGTTTGAGAGAGACATCAGGAGGCTGCGTGCTAGGTGGCAGGTGATGAGGATATGAATTAAACAGCTCAGCAGGGAAAGGTTCCACACAGAAGATGCAAACAATTACCTAATCAGAAAATTGTGCCTAACATTTTCAGCTCTGAACAAATATTATTTTAAAGTTACAGGTAAGCCTAGCCTTCTAGTGATTAATTCAATAAAATGCCACCAAAAATGTAATTCCTAAAGTTCTAATATGCTGATTTTAATTTCCTCGGCATCTGTTTAGTATTCCATTACCCCTTCTATTTTTGTCTGTGCTGTCTTGCTTCTTCCTTAATTGCAGAAATCAGTGGTTTATTTTATTTATTTTTAATGTTTTCTTTTTTTGGATCAGCTGGGGTTTGTTTTTTGTTTTTTCCTACGTGTTTTTTCCCTTTACTATTTCATTCCTCTTCTTTTCTTGTGTTTTTGCTCTGTTCCTAACTTCTTTGGTTAGATATACAATTTATTCATTTCTTTCTGTTCTTTTTAATTCTAAGTGTTAATTACTTAAGTGCTCAGAACTAGATTCCTCTGAGCCCACTTTTAGCCATATTGTCAAAGCAGATAGATATACACACATAATACACAAATATGTATGTATGTATGTATGTATGTATGTATGAATAAATAATAAGAGTAATATGCGAATTTACTGTCACTCCAACATACAAGATGGCTGTCCTCATGCGGTCAAAGATGGCTGCCCCCATGTGGACACAAGATGGCCACAAGATGGCCAGTAGGGTAGGGCAGTTGTGGATGATCAGGCCAGCAGAAGGCAGTTGGGAGGGATCAGGCCTGCAAAGGAGGACAGTTGGGGGCAATCAAGCCTGCAGGGGAGGGCAGTTAGGGATGACCAGGCCTTCAAGGGAGGGCAGTTAGGGGTGACCAGGCCTTCAAGGGAGGGCAGTTAGGAGTTACCAGGCCTGCAGGGAAGGGCAATTAGGGGTGGCTGGGCCTGCAGGGGAGGGCAATTAGGAGTTACCAGGCCTTCAGGGGAAGGCAGTTAGGGGTGACCAGGCCTGCAGGGGAGGGCAGTTAGGGGCAATCGGGTTGTCAGGGGAGCAATTAGGCATCAATCAGGCTGGCAAGCAGAAGCGGTTAGGAGCAATCAGGCAGGCAAGTGAGCAGTTGGGAGCCAGCAGTCCTTGACTGTGAGAGGGAAGTCCCAGATTGGGGACGATGCAGGCTGGGCTGAGGGACACACACCCCCATACACAAATTTCGTGCACTGGGCCTCTAGTGTATGTATAAATACACATAAATACATATGCAGACATATCTACCACTTTGATTATTTTGCAGTGATACTCTATAAGACCATGTACTCTATAATTTCAATTTCAGATGTTTTATTAACCACCCCAATTCCATAACAAGGAATAGAAAGAACCTTATGGGTTTGGGATCTAATATGGGTGAGAAGGAGAAAGAGAGACAGAGACAGGGAAGGAAAGGAAGAGAGAGGGAAAGAAGAAGAAAAGAGGGGAAGAGAGGGAGGGAGGAAAAGAGGGGGAGAGGGGAAGAGGGATAGGAAAGATACTTCATCTGAGTTTCTCTTGGTAATCCCTCTTCTTTCCACTTTCCTCGGGGGCTCCTGTACTACTTATTTGCTGTTCTGATATTACTTCCCTACTGATTGCTGAAGGTAATTAGCTCCAGGTGACTACGCTGGTTGCCTTCCCTCTCAGCTTTCCTCTCATCTGTGAAAAGCTAAATAGGCACGGCAGTTTTCCAGCTGCCAATACCCTCACATTCTTCCACATATTTCCCACGAGGTGCCTACTCCTCCCCCTGACTACAAGCTTTTACAGTTAGAGGAATTCATGACAATTCTCAAGATTTTGCCAATTCTCCTTCTTACCACATATCACTTCTTTGGTGGTGCAGCTAGACATTATAAAAAGCCATTATTAAACATTCTCTTTATCTTGTCCACAAATTTTAGAGTTATGGAGTTAAGGTATTTTTAAATTTTCTTTTCTGTAACTTCAAAACACTGAGTTAACTAAAAACTACACTGAAATACTCACAGTTTGCAGAATATACTCGTAAAAGCTGAAGACAAGGCAAAACCAGGCGATGATTCTGCAAATTCTGTTTGACCAAGTTCAGAGTTATATTCAGAGCTCCATTAATTCTAGCTTTCACTCCAAATTTTTTGTCTGTTTATAAAAAATTAACACAATGTATTTATATGTAAGTTTGAGTGAAATTAAAATGTCATAAAGCAATGAAATTTAAAAACTTATGAACTTATATTACAAATGTAAAGTTGACCTGACATATCTAAAATTATAATCATTTTCTTGAATGATTATATGCCCTAGCCGGTTTGGCTCAGTGGATAGCGTGTCGGCCTGTGAACCAAAAGGTCCCAGGTTCAATTCCAGTCAAGGGCATGCATCTTGGTTGCAGGTTCCCTGACCCTGATCGCGGCTCATGAAGGAGGCAACCAATCGATGTGTTTCTCTCACATCGATGTTTCTCTCTGTCTTTCCTTTTCTCTTTCATGCTCTCTCAAAATCAATGGAAAAATATCTTTGGGTGAGGATTTTTTAAAAAGTACTCCTAAAGCCCTGGACGGTTTTGCTCGGTGGTTAGAGTGTTGCCCCGTACACCAAAGAGTCACAGGTTCGATTCCTAGTCAAACTGTATACACATATATACATACCCTTTAGAATAAGCATTTAAACAAATACTTCAAAGTGTAAGACCTATATGTATGTCATAAGGCAATGGCAGAACTCAGAAATCACTATTTGAAGAATTTAGGGGATCATTTTTATCTCTGTGCAGATAGACAACTATAAACTGAAATTAGGTTCTACTCAAAGGATTACTTTTTTTGTTAACCTAAATCAGCTTCTTTGTTTCATATTCTGTGTTTTCTCAATTTTTGTAATACTTTGCATGACATGTTACAATAACCGATCTTATAACTCTTTATCACACTCACACACACACACACACACACACACACACACACACACCAAGACACACTTGTGATTTTGACATTTTTCTTCTTTTTCCCACACATGCAATGCAATTCTTCAAGAATTTATCAGGATCCTCAATTCTTTCAGGTCACTAATTGGCTTTGGAAAGCATTTCATGGCTTAAGATCAAGAAAAAGGGTAGCGTTCCAGATTTAAAATTTTACCAGTATCAAGGCACAGAGAAGCCATGTCACAAAAATGCTTCTAATCATACAAGTGCAATCCTTACCTTTCGGTCCAATCTTTGCAAGAATAGAATGAATCTGCACCATTAACTCCTCATTTGGGGAAGATTCTTTGCTGGCATTCATAAGTAACTGTAACAATATTTGTGAACCACCTTTGGCAACTAAGAAACTAGCTCTTCGACCTCCACCTTAAAAAAATAAAATTTTATTTGTTTAAAAAGCAAATCTTCCCATAACATATCAAATATCACAACTTTTAGCATTCAAAAAATATTTAAAGTGAAGACTTCTGAAATAAAAAAAAAATCAAAATAAAATTTTGTTTTATTTAGAAAACAGTATAAAGAGTAAATACAAGCGGTGCCAAAATTCTATGTTCAGGGCTCCAATTTAAGGAATACTGAAAAATAACAAAAACAAACAACAACAAGAATATGACTTACCAGTTTCCAAATTCCAATACTCAGAATAGCCTCTATATGAGTATCAGAAAATTCCTCATAAAGTACACATAACACATTATTGATCACTATTTACAAACAGAAATTAGACAAAAAAAAAAAAAAAACTTACCAGCTGACACCAGCTCAACAAGAATGCTTAAGATATTAAGTGTAGTTTGAAGATCTTTCGTGCTCTGAAATAAATAGTTTATTTGCTTTATTAAATCGTTATAAATCTGTAATTCCCAAACTTTTTCTATTCCTGTTGGGAACTATCTGTATTTTACAGATGATCTTTCCAATTTCTCTAAGAACAAATGTGATGAGGTTTCCACTATTCTCTTCTTGCCCTTAAAATTTTTTACAAATAATCTGGCTATTACTTTCCTAGTATCAATATTATTACAAGAGGAATTAATTGGTATTTGAATTCTTCATCATCTGCCCAATAGGCAATAAAAATAAATGAACCAAAATATAAAGGCACTACAATGTATATATGGTAACTACCTAGTCACCTAGCTCCCCTCTCAGAAGGCAACTGTGTTATTGGTTCCATGTATCCAGCCAAAGATAATATGCAGATATTTTTAAAATCCATGTAAATATACATGTGTATACTGATTTATTTCTCCAAATAGTATTGCCCTACATATATATTGTTTCGTAAACTGATATTTTTACATATCAATAAATAGTTTTTTCATCTTCTTGAGAACTACAGAAAGTATTCCACTATATGGCTAAACAATTGTTGATGTAACCAATCACCTATCAATGAAATTTTTTTTCCAATGCAATTTTAAAAAATCCTTTGCTATTAAAAACTGCAAAAGACATATGTAATACTTTCAACAACAAAGGTGTAAAAGCAAAATAAATAAAGTTATTTGGCATTAAAAATTTGCAACAAATAGAAGTGCCCGGCTAGCTCAGTCGGTAGAGCATGAGACTCTTAAAAATTTGCAACAAATACTACATATATTTACATGGAATCAATTACAGCTATATGTAGGATAAGTTCCTTGAATTTCTGGGTCAAAGAATATGAGTATTTTGATAGTAAACTGCTCTTAATGGAGCAATTTACACTCCCACCAGCAATGGAGAAGATTATTTCCCAAAGTCTGGACAACCAATCTAATTTTTTTTTAAATTTTTAAATATTACACTTGGTTATATTTCTCTTATTAAAAGCAATGTCTGACCTGGCCTGTATGGCTCAGTGGTTAAGCACTGCCCTAGGAAGTCATGGTTCAATTCCCAGTAGGGTCCTATGCCCGGAGGTTTCTGGCTCAATCCTCAGTAGGGGCATGCAGTAAGCAACCGATCAATGATTCTCTCTCATCATTGATGTTTCTATCTCTCTCTCTCCCGCTCCCTTCCTCTCTGAAATCAATAAATATTTATATATATATAAGGCAATGGCTGAATGGACAAAAAATAAAACAGATATACAGAACAGAAGCATGGCCTATTCAAGGAAACACCATACCCAGGATAGAGAATTTTATAATGTTATACAGAGGAATCTCAGGATTACTGTGCATCAGTAACTGGCATGGGAATCTTATTCCTCTTTCCAAAAGGAAATGGGTGTCTCCATATTTTAGCTCACAGACTGATGGAACCAAACCTTTTATAATTAAGTTTGAGCCATGTGACTGAGCTCAGGCTATTGGAACCTGAATGGAAGTTGCACTGTTATCTTTAGGCCTTATCTAGACAAGTCTCCCAAATGTAATTCATCACCTCCCACCTCTGCTGACCTCAATAATTTGTGACACAACCAAATAGGGAGAAGAAACAATGATGCTCTATCTCAAGTGAAATTTGTATTTCTTTTCTAGGAGCTGTCTCTTCATAACCTTTACACATTTTTCTATTGGGTAGACTTCATCCCTTACAAATTTGTGCAAGTTTTTTATATGTTAAAGAAATTATATATGTTGAAATCTTTTTTCCTCAGTTTGCCAAGTGTCTATGATGTTTTTTCCCCAGGCATTTTTGTTAATATAGTTGAATTTATCCATTTTTTCTTTTATGGCTCCTGTTTTTTTTTTCATACTTTGAAAAGCCTTCTCTGTGCCAAGATTATTAAAAATTCTTCTCATTGCCGCAACTGGTTTGGCTCAGTGGATAGACCGTTAGTCTGCAGACTGAAAGGTCCCAGGTTCGATTCCAGTCAAGGGCATGTACATTGGTTGCAGGCACATCCCCAGTGGGGGGGTATGCAGGAGGCAGCTGGTCGATGATTCTCTCTCATCGACGTTTCTGACTCTCTATCCCTCTGATTCTCTATCCTCTCTGTAAAAAAAATCAATAAAATATATATTTTTTAAAATTCTTCTCATTACTTTCTCAAGTATTCTGGGGGTTTTTTTACACGCTTAAATATTTGCTTAATAGGAATTTATTTTAGTGTAGAAAGTAAGTATTGTACATTATACTCCTCTGCATGGCTACCAATTTGTCCCAGTTCCACTTATTAAAGCAATCCCCCTATCCCTCTGAAATGCTACCATTGATTAAGTAGTACTAAATTCCCATAAACATTTTTAATTTAATTTGGATTTTTCCATTCTATTCCACTGATGTCTATCTAGTTCCCACCCACAATTTCTAAACTACCTGAATTACTGAAGTTTTATAATGTTCTCTGATATTTGGTGGGGCTAGTTTTTTTCTCCTTTATTTTTCAGAAATATCCTTTCTATTCTTATTTTCCCACTGAATTATAGAAAAAAAAAGTTAGTATTTTTATCAAGATTGCTTTAAACTAATAGATCAATTTAGAATAACAACTTTGTCATTTTTGACAGGAAGTAACTCCTATCAAAAAACATAAAATCACACCCTGTTCTTGTTTTTCCATCTATTTTGAAATATAATTTGATATATAACATTATGTAAGTTTAAGGTATATAATGGTACTTACCTTTTATTCTTAATAAAATAATGATTCTAAATGTATCCAGCTGATCTATCCAAAACTTTGACACTGGCATAGAAATTTAATTATTATCAATATAATATAGTTATTCAACCAATATATGTAGTAAACTAAATCAAAAATATATGTCAGCTGACATAACACAATAAATGAGGATTTCCAATGCTAATAATTTATATTAAGCTAAAGACTTATTTCTAGCTAATGCTTTAATTTCTATTACCAATAAGAATGGCATGTAAAGATTTAAAATGTGGTTATCATTATAATCATAGGGTAATAAACTTAGAGGTTTGCCTAATATATATTAGAATGTTTATATAACCATTCCAAATGTTAATCTAAAACATAAAACAAACTTCCACTCGTTGGCTTTACCTCTAGGATAAAAATGTTACACTTTATATACTATTTTTTTCTTCAGTACTGATTGATACTAATAGTTACATGATTAAAGCCTGTAAATGCTTTACCTCTAATGTTGAGAGCAGAACTTCCATTCCTGTAGAACCTTTGGCTGTCATTTCTCTCCTTATTTTTTCTGAAAGGTGGAGGGGGAATAAATACATATATATATAAATATATATACATATACATATATACATACTGATATATACTTATATATACATACTTATATAAGTATATATCATTTTATTATACAGCTAACATAGAATAAACAAGTCTCCATTGGTTCAGTAAACATTCTAAATTGGTTCTTACATGATCTTCCCTCTGATGCTGCTAATTCTATTCTCTGTAGACTTTCCTTGGCCTTTAGCACAGCTCCTAGTAGAAACTAGGTGAATCCCTGTCTGTCCATCTGTAATCTTAAAATCATTGTCACAGTACAGGCACCAGAAATGAAGGTGAAGAGGCAGTGGTAATGGAAGGCCTCTATCCTCTTTATGACCAGAACTAGAAAACATTTCATCAAATTGGTGAAAACAGAAACCTATCAATGTAACCCCTCCTATGTAACCCCTGTGTTTAAGGGTTAGTTAACAGCACCTCAAATCCCAGAAGAGGTCACTAATAGAATGTATTTGTTTCTAGAAAAATCTAAAATACCTGCATCTTTTAATTCAGAAAGTGGTTGTACTAGATTCTAGCCTTTGGAAATATTATGCTTATCAACTAAGGCAGATGTATAAGGATGTTTATTGTATTAGTGCAAAAATAGGTGTACCAGGTATATTCACTGTATTATCCTCAAAACAAAACACCAACAAAAACAAATCATTAATAATCACATGATATTTCTCATCCCTATTGCAGAGATGGTACAACTAAGTCCTAGAGATTCAATACTTCCTTAAGGTCCCCTAGGCACTGAATGACAGAGCCTGTATTTCAAAGCAGGCACTACACTAATAACCAATGTTCTCTGCTACCTGACATCTTTTGTCAACATTCTAGTGCAAGTAGCACTAGAATTAGGTATTTCTTGAAAATTGATAGGGGGAGGGGAGGGAGAGATTCGTCCATATGCAAAATCTTAATCATTTCTTAGAAGCAATGCTTTGAAAATTAATTTCTTTCACAGCTATTCCATTTTCTACTTCTTGAGTCTATTTGAAGAAGTTTGATTTTTACAAAAAATCGCTTATCAAAAGTTTAAACATTCTTAGCTGTCTCCACTGTTAAAGAATTTTAAAAGCATTCCCAAAACAAGGGATTAAAACTCACCTTGACTTTGAGCCAGATGAAGAATTTTTGACGTAACATATCTGGCAGTATCTGATTCTGTAGGCTCAGTACTGATCTTCTCCAGCTGAGCGAGGAGTCCGACAACCCGAGAGTTATTGGTAAGGCTAAAGAGAATGTTACTTTATCTTAGGGCACAGCAAGATCACTGTTTTTCATTATGTGAAATGGGAAGTTTTGAGAGTGATGCCCTCTAACATGCCTTTATCAGACAATTGCACACGTCACATTTGTAAGTTTTATTTCTTGGGTGATTGGTACAAAGTGTTTATTATATTATGCTCTATATTTTCTGGTTTTCAGAAATATTTCATATTTTTAATTTAAAAATTCTGTAATTTAATAAGAAAATATATAAAAACTTAAACATGTAACTTATTTTTGTAGTGAGAAAAATAAATTACATGTTTAAGTTTTTATAATTTTCTTTTTCTTCCAATATTGCAAAAGAGATAAATGATTCCTTAAAACTGTTACTATAAATATGAATGAGCAAAAACATTAACATTATTAAAAAAAATCCAAACATGAACAAAAGAAGTCAAAATAGGAAAATTAACTATCATATACCTATCACTCAGCTTCAACAATTATCAATTTATGGACCATCTTATTTCACACATGCTTACTTGCAGGCACACCCATCCATTGGCTAATTTTGAAGCAAATCTCAGAGAGATCATTTCCTATGTAAATACGTTGGCATTAATTATCTGTTTTTAAAATAAGAACTCTTTAGAATGTATCTATAATAATAACAGAATAATATGCTAATGAGACCAGACATCCTTCTGGATGAAGCCAGGGCTGCAAGGGAAGCCCAGGTCCTGGGTGCCAGAGGGAAGCCGGTGCTGGCAGCCAGAGGAAGGAAGGCCTACTCTTGCATGAATTTCATGCATCAGGCCTCTAGTATAATTAAAATAGCACTACTAAACCAAAAACAGTAACAATAATCCTTTAACATCAACATCTAATTTCCAAGTTCAAATTTCCCAAATTCATATTCTCTCTCATTTTCTTTAATAGTAAGTTAATTTGTACAAACCACCAGAGACTGAACTCAGAAGAAGAAAACCTACCTGTCTTCCATTAAGTCAAACATTAAGTTTTCAAATATGTAATAAATCAATAGCATTCTTCTTACTACATTTTGAAAATAGTTCTTTTTAATATAAAATGTTATTGTGTCATTATGCATTGTTTATTATTTTTAAATAGATAATTTTTAATTCCTCAATTTTAATTTATAACATGGTAAATATCAATTGATTAAAAAATCCACATCAACAAAACTTTTTGGAGTCTTCATTCATTTAAGAGTACAAAGAGATTCTGAGCCAAACCTGTTCTTTTTGAGAGCTCTAGTTTCTTGTGGTGAGAAATTACATTAAGATACCACAGTTTTGCATACTATGGAAAATACATCTTCAAGAGAAATTTGCACTACAGAAAACAAAATTCAGAAACATACTAATTGAGTGTGTTTTCCTAATTTTTTTCAATTATTTTCATGTGTTAATATTTTTAGTAGCTAATGAAACATCTATTTAAAAAATTCAAAAACATACAGAACACACTAAGCATAACACACATTTTATTCCGTTCCAAATTAAGAGTGTGTTTTGTCAGTAACTGTTAAAATGTTAAATTAACTTGTACTACTATAAAAAATTTTAAAAAATTTTAAAAAAATTTTAAAAAGTAAAATTTTTGCCCTAGCCGGTTTGGCTCAGTGAATAAAGTGTCAGCCTGCAGACTGAAGAGTGTTGGGTTTAATTCCAGTTGCAGGCTCCTCCCCGGCCCAGGCCCTGGTCAGGGCTCCTGCAGGAGCAACCAATCGATGTGTTTCTCTCACATCGATGTTTCTCTCTGTCTTTCCCTCTCTCTAAAAATCAATGGGAAAATATCCTCAGGTAAGGATTTTTTAAAAATAAAAATAAAATAAAACTTTCATCTAAGAGACTCCTTTCTGAGAATCATGCTATTACATGGATGTGGATTAATTTTTTTTTTTGAAGGAAAAAAAATGGAAATTCAGAACATGGGCATTCCATTTCTGTACTTTTTTCATCTATAGAATGAAAACTGAATAAAATATTCTAAGCCATTACTGACTCAGCTCCAAAATTTAAGGCTACTGACACTAATGTTGAGAGAATCATAGGGTGAACACCAGGACCATTTGAATAATTTTTAGACTTTATTAAAAAACACACACACAAAAAAAAAAAAAACACAATTATATAGCTTTTCAATGAACAAAGGAGATAATTTTTTAAATAAAGAGATGTATCTTCACTGTCTTTCTCTATTTTTTTTTTTTTAGTTGAATCAAAATCAGGCTAAGACCAATCTTCAGAGTTACCATTTATAATTCTAACTAGCGATCCCTCAGCCTGGCCTACAGGGATAGAAACTGACTCTCCGACATCCCCAAAGGGTACAGGATTCCAAGAAGGCAATTCTCAGTAACAGACCCTGAATCAGGCTCCCTCCTTTCTGGATCCAGGTGCATCACCCAAGAACCACAGCTGCTTAGTCATTGCAGCTCGGCAGCTCCTGCATTGGGCATCTGATTCTAGTGGTCAGTGTGTGTCATAGCTACTGGTCGGAGCATCCCCCTGGTGGTCATTGCACATCATGGCTATAGGTTGGATGGTCACTTACTGTATAGGATTTTATCCTATACAATAAAAAGGTAATATGCAAATTGAGCATCACTCCAACACACAATATGGCCACCCCCATGTGGTCAAAGATGACCACCCCAACATGGACACAAGATGGTCACCACAAGATGGCCAACAGAGGAGCATAGTTGGGAGGGATTAGGCCTGGTGGTCATTGCACATCATGGCTATAGGTTGGATGGTCACTTATTGTATAGGATTTTATCCTATACAATAAAAAGGTAATATGCAAATTGAGCATCACTCCAACACACAATATGGCCACCCCCATGTGGTCAAAGATGACCACCCCAACATGGACACAAGATGGCCACCACAAGATGGCCAACAGAGGAGCATAGTTGGGAGGGATTAGGCCTTCAAAGGAGGGCAGTTGAGGGCAATCAGGCCAGCAGGGGAGAGCAATTAAGGGTGACCAGGCTAGCAAAGGAGGACAGTTAGGGGTGACCGGGCCAGCACCGGAGGGCAGTTGGGGGCAATTGGGCTGGCAGGGAGCAGTTAGGCATTGATCAGGCTGGCAGGGGAGTGGTTAGGGGTGATCAGGCTGTCAGGCAGAAACAGTTAAGGGCAATCAGGCAGGCAGGTGAGCAGTTCAGAGAGAAATGTATTATATAGGGTGGTATTTTGTGGAAGAGCCACAATCAAGAGGCCAAAGAGCTGCATGTGGCTCTTGAGTCACAGTTTACTGACCACAGGTATAGTGGATAAGACAGAAACTAAACAAGAGTGTTTGGAGAATGTGAAATGAAATGTAGATTGCATTTATAGACTATTTCAAACTTTGGGCTTTTAAAAAAATCATATAAATTGGACAGAAACAGAAGAACAGAGTCTATAAATACTGGAAAGTACAGATTATTTTTAAATGGTAATAAATGGAGGAATTAAAGATTCAAGACAGAAGAATAAATAATAATTAAAAGACTCTGAGAAGGAAGGAGGTATAAAATCTAGAACAGAGGTGACAGTATTAGTCTTTGACAAGAAAAGAGAAAAGCTCTGCTGGAAATAATCGATTCTACACTAGGTAAAAAAGAAGATTAAATGAGAAAACAATAAAAGTCAATAAACTAGAACCCTTACAATACAGATATTTGCACAAGTGAGATACACAGATGATAGATTGTTGTTGGAGAATAAAAAGTCTGAATTAGTACTTAGAAATGAGAATTTTGCCAATGGTAACATTTAGGGCATGATCATGACGACGATGAATGAAATGAAGAGAAAATATATGCCTGCTGTAGACTTTTTTTTTTTCTTAGTCCTCACCTGAGGATATGTTTTTATTGATTTGAGAGAGAGAAAGGGGAAAAGTGAAAGAGAGAAAGTGAGAGAGAGATAGAAGAAAATATTGATGGGAGAGAGAAACATCAATGGGTTGGCTATAAGCCCTAACTAGGGATTGAACCGCAAACTTTTGGCATAAGGGATGACACTTCCAACAAACTAAGCCAAACTGGCTAACTTAAACATAAATAATATTTTTAAAGTGATGGTTTTAAATAACTGCTTCATGCATTATTTCTGTCATTTATTCATATTGGTATTTAGAATTACAATACCTTTTATCTGATACCACTTTTAACTTGCTCATCTTGAGTTACTTCATTTCACCATTGCAGGTAATCTAAAAAAAAAAATTTAAGTTAATTAAATATAATTCTGTTTTCTATACATTAATGTCATAACTGCCATACAGCTGAAGGTTTTGTTATGGGAAACACAAGATAACACTGGAAACCAAAGAATATGTGAGCTCTATGTGCTTCTGGCAAGTCACTTCAACACACAACCTGTGACTATTACCTAAAACCAACCAGTAAAACATTACCAGCATCCTAGCACTACAAAAATGCAAAAACCTAATCTAACACAACTTACAATCTAGTGTCCCCATTTCTTTTGCAATAAAATTATCCTTCCTGTTCTAATACTCTTCCTTAAAATACTCAAATCAATAATAGCATCCTGAGATTAGTGTATTTATTGTCTGCTATTCACAAAAGTACTCAAAGATTGCAAATATGTATGATTATTTCTACATGAGAATACTTTTACATTAATAACAAATTGTCCAGAGTAAAAACCTATAACATCTTATTTAATGCATTTCATGCATATTTTCCTTCAAGCAGTACAGGTTTTATCTTTATAAAGTTCATACTGTACATTTTAAAACATTAAATCTTGATTCACAAAATTTTGATAAGTTTTAGATTATGTGTAAAAAATTACAAGGTCTGTTTTTAAGTTATAAGAAATTTTAAAATTGCTGTCCTTTTTTTCAATTAGCTTATTTACTTATTTATTTATTTAGATTAATCCTCACCCGAGTATATTTTTCCATTGATTTTTAGGGAGGGTTGAAGACAGAGGGAAAGACAGAGAGAGAAATGTCAACATGAGAGAAACAC